AAATTTAATCTGTCAAACCATGCTCAGTAAGTTTTTTATTTGATTTTTCTTTTTGGAAAATAGTTTCATGCAAAATAATTAAAAATAAAACCCCTCGACCGCGGTCTCGTGATTTTATTAAATTATTTTGCATTCAACATTTTCCAACAAAAACCAAACAAAAAACTACTGAGCCTAGTTTAACCGATTAAATTCATAGTTCTCGTGATATAATATATGAATAAAATTTTATTGAACAAGAATTTTAAGATTTGAAAATTTTAAAAATAACTGACGAATATATTATAAATTAAAAAAAATACTTTTTCATAAAAAAGCAAATATTAATAATTTGTAAAAATTCCCAACAAAAATAACTACATAGTGCGTAAGAATTATGTCATCCAAATACGACCTAATTTTACAAAAAAGCAATAAAATTGTTTTTTGTTATATGCTAAATTTTTAGAAAAGTACACAGTAACGTTTTTTTGCCCCCCTGAAAGGTTACATACGACATTTTGCATTATTAACGACGATATATTTTAAAAGTTTTGATAATATTAATTTAAAAAGAACAATATTTGGAAGTAGTTGAAACTTGTTTATATAGTTTTTTATAGTTTATCATTATAGATAAAGTAATCCACATCCAATAAAGAAAAGAGCTGACATGGTTTACATTTGGCATTTTAGGACAGTTACATAAAAAACGTTTTAATAATTTTAAGAATTTTTTAACTTCATTGGAAAATCCTATATTTTTATATTGAAAAATTGCCTTAACACATTTAAATAAAAAATAAAATCTAATTTCTTAAAAATTAGTCGCCAAAAATTTGTTGTCTAATATTTTAATTCACTGTGTCCAAAGTTATCTGCTCAACATTGCTACCATTCTAACCCCGTTATTATTCGAGCGACCTAGTCGGTTAAATTAGCAAATTGGTAGAAATGTTTTTCTGATTAAAATGGTGGAAACAGAAAAAAAATTGAGAATATCCACAAAAATAACTTTGGACACGGTGCATAAAATTACTGCGTGGTATGGCGCCAATTTTGGGGAACCTTTATAAGAAAAATATCTGTCTCAATAATTTTTTTCGACTTGTGACCCTTCTTACTCCAACAATCCAATACTTGCAGTCTCAAAAACAATATTAATTAAAACTGGGACCATGGATTTATGTATTTTATTTAAAGTTTATTTTATTATAAACTTAATAAGTATTATTCCTAATATTTATTTTGGAGGTAATTTACTAACAAAAACCAATATTAATCCCGGCGCATTCGCCATTTTTATAAATTTAATAAATACTGCGTTAATTTTTCAATTAACAGGAAATAAGCAGAAAAATTTTACTATTAACCCTGTTTTTTATTTTTGTAAAACTTTTTAAAAACATATTTTTTTAACATTAATCCCTTAACAATTCTTTTAACGTAAAATTATTTCGCCAATAAAGCTAGTAATTGTACCAATTTCTATAGGGGACAGACCATACCGTGCAAAAGTAGTAGAGTAAGGTAAAATGCGTGCGCTATAGGTGAAATAGATGCGTCAAAGAGAGTGCTACATTCACAAGCAATTTTACAGTTTGGTCTTGACACCGTCAAAACACATTCAATATGGTGATAATATGAAATGAATGATATTTATTTATTTATTTTTGATACCTAATGTTTTATTAAACATTTAAGTTACCTAGTATAGGGTTTTATTAAAGATTGGGTTTAAGTGTAGCTTTGTACTTGTATTTTATGTTTTGTATTGTATTTTACCTTCATATAGGGTATTTTGTGTAGTTTAAATTTTACTAAAAAATCTTTTAGGAAACTCACAAATGAGTTCCATCTTCATTTTGAATAAAAATATAGTTTTAATAATCTAAAACATGCTTAATATAAAACTTTAACAATGTTTTTAGAATGCAAATGCCTATTTTACTGTGATCAACAAAATTTGTGACATTTGTGTTGAGGTAATGATTAGAATGGGGCTACAGCGTGTACGATGATTGGGGTTTAACAACGTAACGTACCTAATTTCCTAAAATAGTGGCAGAAAGAGAGACTTTTTGGTGCAAAAGTTGGTGTCCTTATTTCACATGCTTTTCATAGTTGAACAGAGAAAAATAAAGAGGCTTAATTATCGAAACAACAGATCTGCGACGATACTTTATGTGCATGAAATAAATTTTGTGAATTAGATGGGAAACAAATAGATTTTATAGACAAGTTGTTATTTGGTAGGTACTCAGCACTACAAAAGCAATAGATAAGCGTATAGAGGTTATTTTTATGTAGTAGCTGCGAATATAAAAAGTTTGGACCTCCAGGCATTTGCTTTTTTACCCAAGTCTCATACTTACTCCATTGGTTTTAATATTTTAAGAAAATGTACTTCTTAGAAACGTTTCACGGTAGTTTAGAACTTAATGGATAATATTATTTATGAAAGATTTTTACTTTACAGTAAATTATATTAAATAATATAGGTTATTAAAAAAAATCGATAAAATTTAGTTTTTTTTTTGTCAAAGGGTCAGAATTCTTAAAATCAGCAGGCTTTCATTGTTATTTGTTAAAATGTTAAAAAAACTGTTCTATTTGATCAAAACATTTTTTTAAATTTTTTTTAGCAAAGTTATTCTTGAAAGAAATTTTTGGTAACTTCCTAAACAAAATCTAGTTACTCTTAAACCGATAAATCGATTTTGATAAAACTTTAGCACTTGGAAAAATTGTTTTGAAATTTACAAAAATTTAATTTTTTTATAATAATTTATCAAACTTTTAAATTAAATTTCACTTCATAATAAAACTCTAATGAGGCTAAATCTGTCAAGAAAAAATCCAACCATGATATTAGTTGATATGAAAAAATGTTGAAAAAATTCTAGGTTGAAGTAGTCTACTTAAAAGACATTAACAAAGTTTTAGAAAGATTGAGTCTGGTTTTCGAGTAAAAATTATTAAAATTGCCAAGATACACGGGATGTTATCGTGTATTATTGCTAAACTGTGTTGTGAATGTAAACAAAAATTTAGATGCCAATGTCTTTAATTAATGCATATCTTCTAACGTCCCATTAAAAAATTAATGAATTTGTTTTCTTGTATGCACTCATGCCTGTAGAAGTACCATTTATAATTTTGTTAACTTTTACTGCACAATATTAAACGGTAATGTTGATTGTGTCCAACCAAAATTATCAATCTGTCATTTTCGTCTAGAAGATCCGGAAACACTGGATTACGAATACGTGTTTATCTAGGGATATTTGGTTTGATTTATTTGGTGATTACCATAATTTCGTTTTTAAAGTTATAGTTTTTTTTAAATAATGAAAAAATCCTTCTACCGTTTATGGTTTTCTTATCTTTGTTTTATACTCTTTTCGAGACTCGTTGCATTCAATATACTGCATGTTTTCTGTTGCTTTATTTTTGTTTCCATCATTTTTTTAAATAAATTTTCTTTGCAGTGAACTTCGTTCGTTTCACAGAACATGATAATTCGTTTTCACATCTCAATTTAGGATTTTAAATAAAACGGCATAAAGAAATGTCACTGACACAGTCAAAAGCGAAAAGCTTTGCCATGGAAACCAAATTTCAACAACTCACAATATTGTTGCGTTTAAACCTATCTTTTAGGTTTTTTAATTAATTTTGTATTGAAATAAAAAAATATATAAAATCCGTTAGAAAATTGTCTGTTTTTGCAAGTTTGTACCTATCGCTATTTATACATTAAGTATAAAAGCAACTAAACCTTACCCCTTTCCCCGTAATGTACTGTCCAAACTATCTTGAACACAAAAATTATTTTTTTCTTAAAAAAATATTTTCAACGATTTATTATTTTTTTGTTCAACAAGTGAACATTAGGGTGCTTCATTTTAGAGCGACATTTTTTTTTCAAAGTCCCACCTGAAAATCTTGTAACCGGTCAGAAAACAAAAATTTTGAGATATTACAAAGCTCTTCATTTTTATTTTAAGCCGTTGCTATTCAATTTTTAAATATTTCACTTAAAAAACCATTAAAAAACAATTTTTTATTCGTTTATCCTTAATTTCATCCTTTATAAAGATTTTAGAACCGAAATTCGGAAAAAATATTCTTACTGTACGAGCGGAAGGATAAAAGAATAAAAAATTGTTTTTTAATGATTTTTAAAGGGAAATATTTAAAAATTTAATAGCAACGGCTTAAAATAAAGATAAAGAGCATTGTAATAGCTCATAACGTTTGTTTTCTGACCGGTTACAAAATTTTCAGGTGGGACTTTGAAAAAAAAAATGTCGCTCTAAAATGAAGCACCCTAGTGAACATTCGCGACCATTATTATTTTTTTTGAAATCACAAAAAAGCATTTTTTAGTTTTAATACCAATGTATGTGCACCATGATCTTGATAGAAATTTTACTTTAAAAACTTTAATTTAATAAATAATAAAAATCAAATGGCTAAAGAAAGCTAAAGAATGTTTTTTTTTGTAAGTGACATTTTTTTTCACATTAATAAAAGATCAAGAGCACGAAACAGAATTAATTGTTTATAAACAATTTTAAATAGTAAAATTTGTTTACCTTAGATATGCCAAAGTTTCATCAAAATCAATTTATCTGTTCAAGAATAACTAGATTTTGTTTGAAAAGTTATCAAAAATTTTATTTGGCAATAACTTTGCTAAAAAATCAAAGTTTTGCTCAATTAATTTGTATAGTCAAATAGAACAGTTTTTTTAACATTTCATAAATTATGACAATATAATTTGTTCAAAACTGCTCATCATTATGCACCACATAATATTTAAGTATTCTTCATTGCAATCTGAATACTAGGTTTATAACTTTTATAAAAAAACATGTTAGTATTTTGAAACTAAAAATATTTGGCTTTGCTTGAAAGATAAACATTTCCTTAAGCATAGTCAAAATCCGGAGGTAAAACTATTAATCTACATATGTTAAATTAAGTCCAAAAAACTGAAAACCCAAAGCAAATACCTGCGGCCAGCGTTGGATGATGCTTCATGTCAAAGTAATCAATCTTAGTCATACCACTTTCGGAACCCCGCCTGCCCGTGCCGGTGGAATCTCTTCGCTTCTGGGCCGCGCGGTTCCGCAAGATGTCCAGACTTAGCGCCGCCAGATCGTCGGCCGAGAGCTCTTCTTGCGCCCGTTCGCTCTCGATCGAGGTCTTGGAGTCCGTCGAACGGGTCCTTTGCCGGGGCAGGTTCAGTTCTTTTCTGCTACCTATAATTTAGAAATGTTTCGAGCTAACACATTTTAAATAGGTAATGTTCTGTTATATTGGGTCTTTTCATCTCAAGGTTTTTATAATAATAACTATAAAATCCGTTTTTTCAGAAATTTGATTTTTTTAAATACAGGGTTAGAAATGCGACTTAAAAAAAACGGTCCGTTTTTTTTGTTTTTTTAAATAGTTTTTTTTCAAATGGTTTTTGATTAGTCCCATTTGCCTAATTTTTTATGTTTTCATGGACTAAAATTAGCCACTAAATGACAATTATTAAATTTAAATACAGTCTCGCGTTATGCACTCGCCACAACCACCGATTTGACCAATAAGGGCCGCGCTTGTTTTGATTTGGTCCTAAAAAAGTAACTACATATAATATTTTTGATTCAGCGCTTGATTTTTTAAAACGCTGTGGCTCCCGTCCCGAGGCGGGACTTAAGTTCAGTCCCGATTGACGTCATAATTTTAAGATTTGTTATGTTATAATAAAATAATAATATTAAATTGTACCTGTATACATGTTAAGGGCACTTTAGTTACATCATAAAACCAAACCAACCCAAACTCAACAACACAACCCAACCGACCCCGCCCCATTGGGCCCCCCCCGCCCCATTGAGCAAAAAACCCAACTAAAATGGGCAAATTTATGTTACGATAAAAATAAAACACTTTTTAACAAAGAAACAACAAATTTATAAAATAAAAAAAATAAAAAAAGTTTGACAACTTCTAGTGGGATCGAACCCGGTACCTCTCGCATGCCAAGCGACCGCCCTACCATCTAAGCCATCGAGCTTGACACAAATTATAAAATCTCGGGGAATAAAAACCGATTTACAGTGTGTGACGTCAATCGGGACTGAACTTAAGTCCCGCCTCGGGACGGGAGCCACATCGTTTTTAAAAAGCTACCAAAAGCACTTTTTTCATGATTTTTCAAATTTATGTAGAGTATGAAATTTTTTTTTTCAAAAAACAATAGCAAATTTTTGTAGAACATTTCTTCATTGGTGGTCAGAACATTCCGTGGACCAAAAAAGAAATAAAAAAAAAATCGATTTTTTTATTACGGTATTTGTTAGAATTGAGCGTTACAGGTTTTTCACCTAAAAATCTCAAAACTATAAACTTCAAGCTTCAAATTGCTTTTTTTACGGCTCCAATACGACCATTTTTAACGAATATACAGCTATTCAAAAAATCGCAACAAAAAAATTTGCATCCTTTAATTTTTTGTATTAGTGTAGAAGTTTTACATTGCTATTAGTCCAGTCATATAGGCATTTCACCTCGGAATCTAACGGAATAAGCTGAATTTTTGTACAAACCTTTATTTTAGCATTGCAAATGTTGTCTCAAAAGTCACATATGCCAACGTGTGAGCGGCCTTAGATATTCAAGGTGAAAGGTCGCAAAAATCAATTTTTTGAGAATATCTCGTTTTCTCTGCCTTCTATCGTATTTGCATTTATTATAAAAGTTGTAGAGAATAAAATTCTCTACAAATTTTGTTTAAAACATTTTTTTATACGTCTAATAGTTTTTGATATAGAGGGCACAGAGTGTGGAGCGCTCAGCCATACGTACCTTTAGCGCAAGGTAAATCATGAATCCCAATCTATTCTACCGATTTTTTAATTAATTATTTATTAAATATTACTTAAATAACAATTTAATACCGTATATTTATTTTTATATATATTTTTTAAACAAATACTCATTAAATATTACTTACTTTTGAGATACAAATAATTAAATAATAAAGTGAATCATTCTAAATATATTCTAATGTTATTCTAATTAATGATAAATGCATTTTAAGAAGACATTAAATGAATTTGCCTGTCTCTGGTCATCTCTTGCATCCAGATATTGCATTTAAAATAACAGACCTAGAAATACTATAGTGGGCTTGCTATAAATAAAAAGGTTAGGTATACCTATATTAAATTTTAAAGCAAGTTGTGACCCTAGGTATAGGTCTAGGGTTGTGACAGGTAATATTCGTAATATTTTAAAGGTTAACATGGCTGATTTGTGTTTTATTTGTAATAAGTTACTTTCTGAAGGTGATTCTGTGACTTTTGTGCGCGGTATAAAGACTTTAAAAGAAGCAATTGTTGAGAGAAATAAACATAAACTACCTAAATACTTTGAATTCTGTAAACGTTCATATTGAGTGTTGAAAATTGTACGCTATAGCGTACTATAGTAAAATTGCAGCAGCAAAACGTCGCCTTGAAGAGACTGGACCTTCAACGTCATCAACTGTACCTCGTTAAAAAGGGAATTATGTATGTGTTTGATTTTAAAATATTGGGCTTATTTTATGGTGAAGTCGCAGATGAGGCAACAAAGGCAAAACAATCTGCAAAGTACAAACGCGTTATAAGTAAGTTTTTGAAGATATGACAATTAATGTCAATGATAACGAGGAGAGTGATGATGAGAATGAGTCTGAAATTGCTGGCCAACCTGAAGAAGACGATGATGAAGAAGATAAAAATTAATAATAATAATATTGATATAAATAAAAACATTTTTTACTACTCCGATTCAATTATCCTTCATTAAAATAAAATTAAAATATAAGATATATATGAAGATAAAATATATTTGATTTAAAAGAAATATAAATATAAGTATAAGGTATTAAATTTTTATTTTAGTAATATTTATTAAATAATTAATTAAAAAAACGGTATAATAGATTGGGATTCACGATTTACCTTGCGCTAAAGGTACGTGGCTGAGCGCTCCACACTCTGCGCCCTCTATCTCAAAAACGGTTCGACGTATAAAAAAAATTTGGAAACAAAATTTGTAGAGAATTGTATTCTCTATAACTTTTATAATAAATGCAAATACGATAGGAGGCAGAGAAAACGAGATATTCTCAAAAAACTGATTTTTGCGACCTTTGACCTTGAATTTCTAAGGCCGCTCACACGTTGGCATATGTGACTTTTGAGACAACATTTGTAATGCTAAAATAAAGGCTTTCACAAAAATTCAGCTTATTCCGTGAGATTCCGAGGTTGATCCCTTTTTTTGACTAAGATGACTGTACTATATTGGTTTTTAATGTGAAAACTACCAAATAATAAGATTTTTTAGTCTTGGTCAAAATTTTCAATAGTGAAAAATGTAATATATTCTACATTTTACTCAAAATTTCATTTTGAAAATAAAACACAAAAAAGCCGTTTTTTTTCTAGGTTTTTTTTCACATCTGAAAAAAACCGTTTTTTTACATCTCTATACAGGGTGTAACCTAATTAATTGTCATCCTTTGAGGGCCATCAATGATACGGGGCCCCCGGCTAGGGGGGGCCCCTGATTGGCTTCGACATGCGTAAGCAAAAAACATATTAGTAATGATATTACCCACATGTTAAAAAAATTGAGGCATGAAATTAAATAAATAAATAATATTATTATTTAATTGTTTATACTTCGATTTATTAAATTAAAATACCCTCCTGTTCCAACGAGGCCGTGAACTCATACGAGTTGTTTCTGCCCGCACCTTTCCGCTATGCGTTGTCTGCGCAAATATTGTTCTGTGCTCTGCGCCGCATATATGCGTATAGTATGCTGAGTCTGCTTTGCGTGTTATTATCATAGACCTGTTATATTAATGGCAAATTATAAATATTTATTAGCGTTACAATTATTTCAAATGACTTGCGTTTATTTTAAAATAGAAACCTTTTAAAAGATGTTGAAAACGGTAAATGTCTAAAACCAGACCAAATTTTAAAATTTGCTTGTACATAAAAAGCTAAGTATACATATATTATTTATTAAATTATAAAAAATTGGAAAATGCAAAAAAATGATAGGTACCCTAAAAAAAATTTTTGTTTGCCCAAATAGAATTTTTGCCAGCAGCATTTCCCGTATAAGGACCTCTACCAAATTTTTGATACGGGGCCCCCTCGAGGCTAGCTACGCCACTGGGTCACACCCTGTATATCTGAATGATTTGATACGAAAAGGCCCTTTGATAATAATAACAAATACCCAGACACAAATAGTAAATATTCTGGTTATTAAAAAGTTGCAAGAAATATTGATAAATCTAAACATATTGCAAACAATTAAGTGAATAATTTATTTGTGGTTTAAACGTGTTTTCAGTGAGTCAATAATTCAAAGTGTTTTTAAACGCTAACCATTCCTTAACTAGTGCAAGTGATTGTATAACTTTGAACAAGGTTCTACATACATTTTTAAATGTTAAAAATTACAAAAAAATAATAAATTTATTATATTTTTATTTAATAGATTATAAAAAGTCTTATCTTTAATTTATTTACAGGGGGTCCGAAAATGATACACTAACAATTTTTTTATATGTAATTTTGTAGTTATACAAGGTTTTTCTGAAATGCCTGTACATAATGATACCACATATTCGAAGAGGCCGAAATTATGCGATACTTGTTTACCAAAGTTGATAATAATCAAGGGTGTCAAATTGTAAAATTCATTTTCGATTTTATTAAATAACTTTGAAAAAACAAACGTATTTGCACAAAATTTGATTTTTGGGGGTTTCTCAGGACGGGAAAATAAAAATAGTAATATTTTTACTAAAACGTGAATAATTTCATATAAGTATCCTTTATGCACGATGACATTATAATATGACAATTATAACAAAAATTCTTTGACGTAAACGTCTTTTTATAGCCCGCGGGCGTTATTATGACCCAGCGGGCTATAATGAAACGTCAAAAATTAAAAACAACAATGTTACACCATTTGATATATTCAAAGTAAGTTTTTTCGTATAATGATTTTGATTTTTCCTGCAGCAGGTCGCAATTTTTCGCCTTTTCAGCTGCTTCCTCAATTTCATTCATCTTTAAACTTTAAAACTGACTGATGTCAGTTGACATTATAATATGACAATTATAACAAAAATTCTTTGACGTAAACGTCTTTAAAAACAATAATATATTAAAAATAATAATTTATTAATCGTGCATAAAGTTTTGTATGCATTGCTGGCATAACTGGTTTTTATGGTCCTACAACGCTTTTCGCTTCTGGAAATAGCGCCTCGGACCATAAAAACCTTATTATGCCCTTAATACATAATAGTTATTTATGTATTAAGGGCATAAAAACCAGTTATGCCAGCAATGCATACAAAACTTTATGCACGATTAATATATTAATATTTTTAATATATTATTGTTTTTAAAGACGTTTACGTCAAAGAATTTTTGATATAATTGTCATATTATAATGTCAACTGACATCAGTCAGTTTTAAAGTTTAAAGATGAATGAAATTGAGGAAGCAGCTGAAAAGGCGAAAAATTGCGGCCTGCTGCCGGAAAAATCAAAATCTTTATACGAAAAAACTTACTTCGAATATATCAAATGGTGTAACATTGTTGTTTTTAATTTTTGACGTTTCATTATAGCCCGCTGGGTCATAATAACGCCCGCGGGCTATAAAAAGACGTTTACGTCAATGAATTTTTGTTATAATTGTCATATTATAATGTCATCGTGCATAAATAACTATTAATGTCCAGGTTTATTTCTTATGGATTGAAATGGAAAATTTTCTGGAGAATTGTATTTCAAGATCGCGAATTAAAAAAAAAACAAAAAAAAATTATCAGGATTTTTCCCCCGAGCACTAACCGTTTCTAAAATACATTTGTTTATTTATACGTGTAGAATCACCAAAAAAAAGTTATTTCCGGACACCCTGTATAGTTTTTTTGATCATAACTTTGTTGTTAACAATATTTTCAATAATATATTATATTATTTATTTTTATCGTAATCAAAACTACATAAAAATGTAATCAAAGCCTTGGAGTACAAAACCCAGTGTTTTTAAGTTGTTTATGTTCTTAGGTTACCTGCACTGTAAGCCTTCTTTGGCAAACTCCTTTTAACTGTTTTTCTCGACTTTTTTGCTAGTGGCAGCAACAATAAATTAACTTTCTGCTTTCAATAAATTTATCTAAAATAAAAATTTTACCTGTCATAGATATGGCATCGTCGACCTCTTCGTCCTCTTCGTCGTACCGATACTCGATGTGTTGACCGTTGTCGAATATGTAGGCATCAGGTCGCACTTCAGTCAATGACCTCACTATGGTTTTCTTACGCGCGCTAGGTGGCGCCACCAGGAGCGTAAGTTCTTCCGAGGCTTCGGATTTTTCACTGGTCGTCCTTTCTCTTGAATCCTTCAAAGAAAAAATCATCCAAAATGTTATTTAAATATCAACAAAACTTTAAAAACAATAACAAAGTATAAAGAATGAAAAATGTATGGAACGCCGTTTTATCATTTAATCACTAATTATTTTTTTGTGTTAGTGAGATATATATTGATACATATAACTTAATAACACAAAAAAAGTAATTAAAAATAAATAAAATTACTCGGTTATAATCATTTTTTTGTCTTTCTTGCAAAGGATGTTTGTAGGCATGGTCGAAATCAATATTATTTATGTCAATTTTTTTTTATTTTGTTTGCTGTAACCACGCCATCGTCCCTAAACCTTACACATATAAACATTTTTTTAAGGTATAAGTATTGGGAATAATCAATTAGCAGATTCCTTTTTAGAATCTCACACTGGGAATGCCCAATTGAATTCAATTTGAAATTACCTAATGGTAGCTTTAACCAATTGAAACCACTAAAAACAGTAGAATCCTTATTGGACTTTTCCATATTTTAAATTATTGGGAATAACCAATTAGCAGATTCCTTTATAGAATTATACACTGGGAATGCCCAATTGAATTCAATTGGAAATTACCTATTGGTAGCTTTAACCAATCGAAACCACTAAAAAACAGTAGAATCCTAATCGGACTTTTCCATCATGGAAAATACCAGTAAAAACCAATTTCTAATTTATATCGCTCCCTATTAAACCCAGTAAGTCCAATTCAGACCTATTGATGCCAACCAATACTTCAATTGGTTTCTATAAGGAATTAATTGGTCATTTACAACAGGGTAATTTTAATCATTTCGTGAAATAAAGTAAGCGAATTTTAATGATTAAAATTGACGCTGTTTATTTTAAACATTAAAATTAGTGGATACTTTTCTTTACCAATTAGTTTAATTCAAAAATTGAAATACAGCGAATTTCAAACTTAAAAAATAGCTTTGCATATAGCATAAATTTCAAACAATAAAATAAAGCAAATTTACATGAATAATTCATTTTCATCTTTGTGCAGAATTAGTAATTACAATTATTGAAAATACTGCGGTTACTTCGTTTAAAAGAAACTTCTAAATTACATAAATTTAAATGTTTAAAATTAATGCGGGATACACCGGTATTTTCAATTCAAATCATTAAAATTCGTACAATTTATAAGACTGGTTTGTAAAACGACCTGGACACGGTGGTCAAAACTTAAGTATAGGGCGAACAAATATGCCAACCAAAACTGATAGCATATTTTGATTATAGACCCTTTTGGTAACACTAACATGTATTTATCAAAATCCCAGCTGATCCTATTTGAAAGTTTTGCAAACTTTTTTGTTTTTCTATTTCTATATATTATTTTGCAATTATTGTACTAAAACTACCTGTACAATTTTAATAAAATTAAGCAAAATAATAAACTTTGTATCATTTAAATTACTTTACTCCCCAGTATTAATTTATTGAGTCACCTATTATTTTTTACCACTCAAAACAAAACATAAAAAAACGAAGATTTATATCTTAAATATTTTTTTAAACAAAAAATACTTAAAATTACAACTTGCAAATTTTGTAAAACAATAATTAAGGTGTTTATGAAAAAAATTGCTATACGTTATAACGCAAGTGACATTTTGCTTTAGTTGTTTATTTAATGTATACTTTATAATGTTAAAAATAGTATTTTAAAATGAAAATTAAACCGAAATTCAAGTTAAGCCATGAAGAAAATCGAAAAAAGCTAGGTGCTGGCTGTGGAGACAAAATTGATTTTGGTAATCGAAAAATTTAGAGTTTAGGGTTTCTGAGAAAATATAAAAATTACTGCACACTTTTTCAAACAAACACTTTAACTTAAGTGATTCAAAATTACCTACTCCAATATGGTAAAAACGGTATTTTTGCATAGCCACAATTGCCAAATTTTAAAAATTTAGAAATTAATTTCTAGAGAATTTCGCGGCAGCCAAAAATGTATGTGCTTTATCTGCAAAATGGCAAGATATAAAGGGACTTAAAAACTTATTAATGGAAGAGGACGGACGAACGAACTAAAGTTTTGATAGGCTCTTCCTTTCTAGGGGATATCGCTAGATGTAAGAAGCATTTTTGTACAGAGACTGAAAAATTTAAAAATACTGTTTCCATGTTAAAAACAATTCCATGTAAAACCCAAGAAAAAGTTTTACTGAAAATTTAAGGCCAGCAGTAATCGATTTTGCTTCAAAGAATCTTTAGTTATTTATTAGTTTTGTATTAGGTACCTTAAAACATTGCAAAAACTGTATTTTACATTATTTTGTATTTATAATGTAATTTATTCATATTTCAGTCATGTATCTTCCAAATTTTTAAAAACATTTGATTTTACTAGAGTATTTTATCGAAATGGAATAAACAATTTTAAAATACTAAGAAATATGCAAAACTTTAATAAAGGATCAGCTGGGATTTTGATAAATACATTTTTGTGTGAGTCTATAATCAGATTATGCTATCAGTTTTGGTTGGCATTTTTGTTCGACCTATACTTTAGTTTTGACCACCGTGTGGAGAGTATTTTTTAATTAAAAATGCTCAATCCTTGGTTGCAATTAGTGGAACATCTGAAATCATATATAAATAAACAAATCCGCATAATTATCTTTTATTGATTGAAATTGACGCTGTTAATTTCAAACATTAAAATTAGTGGATACTTTTCTTTACCAATTAGTTTAATTAAAACATTGATATAATACTTTTGCATCTAGCATGAATATAAACAATAAAATAACGCGAATTTAAGTTTGTTAAATTCTTTTGGTTACTTTTAAACTGGTTAAATAATTATAAAACGGCTTTCCCTAAAAATGTAATTAAAGTTTACCTCATCCAAACTTCGATTATCTCCAGTCGGCACATTATTAGTGGCCACAATGGCACGCAGATTCTCCAACTCGTTACTCATATCCTGCATTTGATCAGTGAACTTTCTGCACCTAACTTCAAGATTCTGCAACAGCGTGGTCTGGGTGCTCTCTTTGCTGTGTATATCCTCCACTTTCTGCGTTAAATGTTCGATTCTTTCGGTGGTCACTTTGATGCGCTCTTCGGTGCTCTGCTGCAGCTTGTTTTCCTGCTCGGCAAAGTACCCTTCGACGCAGTCCTCCTCGAAATCGTACAGGCGTTCCATTTCGTCGCGATCCAAAAACAGTTTGAGCCCGTTGTCGTACATCTCCTCTCGGCCGTCCATTTTTCTCCTGATGAATTTGAAGAGCAGGTAGAGGTGGGAGAATATTATGAAGGGAGGTGGCAGAATGGGCTTTTGCTCGTACTCCATGACGACAGTAAATCTAGAAGCAACCCAATGTGTTATTTAATATATTAACTGTGCAACACCAAAAATAAAACCGCACCGGACTATTTTTTTCTGAATATATACCTATCCAATAGCAAAACCCTCGCTGGGTTTGTAAAAGTTCGCTCGATTTATTTTTTTATGGCCGTTTGTATTTTCTAGCTTCATATGCCCCAATTTAGACTTATTAATCGATTTTTTCGCATATATTCGATTTATATCGTCAAGATTTTTTGTAGAAATGTAGTTACTGAACAAATAAACCCATTTTGTGAACAACCTATATCCCAAAACCCAATTTTTGGAACCAAAAATTCGAAAAATAATTTTTTTTTGCATATTTTTCGATATTATTTAAAATTTCTTGCTACTTCTTCTGGCAAAAATGTTGTAAAGTATACTAAAAGAAGTAATTTATAAAATACGCCCACAAAACTGAACTTTAAGTTTACTTATTTGCTGGAAAACAATTTTTAAACAAGATTTTCCAAAATATTCATCTTTTCATACCCAACACCAATCTTTTTGCAAAATCTTTGGAAAATCTGTAGGAAAAAATTGAATAGATAAAATAGAATTGTAGAAAAGTACAGAGAGTAAGATTTTTTATTTTGTATTAATTTAATTATTAAAAATTTTTTTATATCAAAACATTGAGTAATCTGATTCATTGCTGGAGAATTCCATACCTTCCACTTCTTCTCCTTTATTTTCTTGTTCTTCATTTTCATGTTTTGATTCATCAATGGAGAATTCCATCCCTTCATTTCATATATATATATTTTTTATATTCATTTCATTTCAGAAGACTTTGACAGGTTGACAATGAGATAGTTGCGTGGGCGTCGATAAGAGAAATCATCCCAATTATGAAGGATCTGTGCGACGAATGTTGGATGTTTTTTTCCAAAATTGGAGTCAATATGTCGCTAAAAATTCATTTCCCTCATCGCCATTTGGACTACTTCAGTCGACAGTTATCGACACAATCATCAAACTGCGATGCCATTTGAGTCCAGATAAAGAGGAAAACGAGCTCCAGATGCCATACTAGCCGAAACATTTTGGTGAAGTAAACATATTTTTGACTACGATCAGAAAGAAAATGAAAATGAAGAACAAGAAAATAAAGGAGAAGAAGTGGAAGGGATGAAATTCTCCAGTGATGAATCAAAAAATGAAAATGAAGAGCAAGGAAATAAAGGAGAAGAAGTGGAAGGGATGGAATTCTTCAGCAATGAATCAGATTACTCAATGTTTTGATATAAAAAAGTTTTTTAATAATAAAATTAATACAAAATAAAAAATCAAACTCTCTGTACTTTTCTACAATTCTATTTTATCTATTCAATTTTTTCCTACAGATTTTTCGGCAAAATATTTGGTGTTGAGTGTGAAAAGATGAATATTTTGGAAAATCTTATTCAGTACTGAACAAGATTTTCCAAAAATGTTGTAAAGTATACTAAAAGAAGTAATTTATAAAATACGCACACAAAACGTTTTGTGTGCGTGTTTTATAAATTACTTCTTTTAGTATACTTTACAACATTTTTGCCAGAAGTAGCAAGAAATTTTAAATATTATCAAAAAATTTAAAAAAATATGTTTCGAATATTTGGTCCCAAAAATTGGGTTTTTGGGATAAAGGTTGTTCACAAAATGGGTTTATTTGTTCAGTAACTACATTTCTACAAAAAATCTTGACGATATAAATCGAATATATGCGAAAAAAAAATCGATTTATAGGTCTAAATTGGGTTATATGAAGCTCGAAAATACAAACGGCCATAAAAAAATTAATCGAGCTAACTTTTACAAACCCAGCGAGGGTTTTGCTATTGGATAGGTATATTTTCAGAAAAAAATGGTCCGGTGAGGTTTGATTTCGATGACCCGAAAATTGTCGCACAGTATACTGTATATATATATATATAGTAATCCCTGATAGCACAGTTTATTCTAAGAATGTTTTTTAAACCTTCCAGTGGGAATATTCTTAGGATCATGCTATATTTCTTTTAGTCATGTTCTAAGAATGTTTTTTAAACCTTCCAGTAAGAATATTCTTGGATCATGCTATATTTCTTCTAGTCATGTTCTAAGAATGTTTTTTAAACCTTCCAGTGAGGATATTCTTAGGATCATACTATATTTCTTCTAAAGAACATTCTTAAAAGAAATATAGCATAATCCTAAGAATATTCTCACTGGCAGGTTCTTAGAAGGTGCAAAGTTTAGTGGTAAAAATTAATCCACTCTAAACATATGATTTGAGAATGTTGAGAAAGTAATTGCTATAGAAAGTTCATTTAGGAATATTCCTGTAACATTCTGTTAAGCATATTCAGTTCAGTTAGGTACCTATATGATAGTAAAATATACCATAATCTACGTATAAAGGTACCTATACTTAGTATTAAATACTAAGTAAAAAACACAACCCAAAATATTTTTTTATAGTTATTTGTCAAATTAAAACAATATTCGATAACAAAAATACTTTTACTATAGGTATTTAAATTATCCGGCTTTTACATAAAATCTTCTATCCAACTTAAATACAATGAAACATGTTTTTTTTTATGAAGAACTATTTGGTTTTTTCTTTTATGAAGAATTATTTTATAAGGAAATATTTTGTTTTTTTATATTTTTTTTATGTTAAAAATAAATATTTATTAATTTGAATACTGATTTTTTATATCTGAATTAACATTTTTATGTATAATAATCCTAACTATATTCAACTTCAATCTAATCTGACTTATCCCACAAAATTTTCCAATTTTACTTTTTATGAAATAATGTCATACAACTTATGGTTTAGAGGTCAAATTGTTTATTTAATATTTTTAAATAAATATATATTAATATGTCGCAAACTTTTTTAAGGGGACGACAAATACATTTCACTGTCATATTATGACAGTGAGGCGTATTTGTCGCCTCCTGAAGAATTTTACGAATGTAGAATCCAACATATTAGAACTCAAAAGCTTCCTAGAAGCTCCATAAGAAACCTTCTAAGAACATTCCAAAAACGTATTCTTAAAATGTTCTTAGAATACTTTTTAGGAAGGTTTTAAGAAGCTTCTAAGAATATAATTGCATCATTAAAAGGGTATCTATTGAATGTTTTAAAAGTCCCTAAGAACATTCTTAGCAATAAGGGATGGTTCTAAGAATATTCCATTATTCCGGGTCATATCTTCTTAGAAGATTCTTAGAATCAAATTTTGCTATCAGGGTTTTTAACATTTACTTTCAGAAATCTTTTTAATTACCTTTGAAACATCCAAACTTGATGAGCAATGGAATTAACTTCGTTAAAAATGTTGTTGAACACAGCGATCAGCAAATTAATTAGAAGAATATTGGCCACCAATAAGTACACGGACATTATTGTGGGGGCAACCCATCGTCCGGTTTGACATGGTGGCTCATCTTCCCCACCACAAGGTGGGTCAATTTTATCTGCATACACCTCACCATACAACATGAAATATGGCTCCAGAAAAACCTATAAAATCGTGAATTTTAGTGAATTACAACGGTTTTTAATGTGTTGGTTTACATCTCTGGCTATACCCCAACTGGGGTCCGTATCTGGATTTAGAATTGCCTGTCTTGCCACTCCAAAGCTCATGAGGACTATTAGTAAAAGTACTACGAAGTATATCATGTTTTTAACCATTTTACCCATCATGGTTACCAGTGGTCCTAAAATCATCAACATATAGGAGCAAGTGGATGAAGGGGTAAAGTAAAATTTTAAATAATAAAGTACAAAAAATATTGAAATTGCAATACCAAGTGTATTACCTTTTTTGTTTCAAAGTGTCATGTTTAGAAAAGAACGGACAATATTGAGATTGTAAATAAAAATAAATTTGCTATTGTGGCATTACAATAACTTTTGTCCTTTATTATTCAAAATTTTATTTATGAACTGTGAACTAACGAATATTTAACATTTGTAAGATTGAATTTTATAAAATCTTTAAAACTTTTCCTGTGTAATTTATTTTAAAGGATTACATAATAAACGTCCTTTGCCAAAAACTCTAAAAAATGTAGGGGCCTTCAAAGTTCTTTATTAAAAGAAAAATGTTTATTTTTATTTTATTTGGACCTAGATAAAATACCAGGTCCTGTATACTGTTTATTGTTAATCTGACTTTTAAATACCAATGTGCCAGGGGCCCCTTTGAATGGCTGGGCCCCCAAAGGCCCCCATTAATCCAGGGCTGTTTATAATTTTTTTAAATCAATTTTTCCGAAAAAAGACTTTTTCCGCACCTTGCAGAAAAATATCGTTCTTTTCAAGCCTTTAAAGTTTAAAACATCAGAAGCATTTTAAACAGTAAATTGAAAATTTTGCATTTTTTGTATTACGAATAATGCAAAATCCAATATTTCTGCAAAATTTTCAATTTGCGTGTATTTAGGGTTTAAAAACAGAAAAATTGACTTTTGCATTTTTTTCATTTTATTTAAAGGGTAAAACGCAAAAATGCAAGTCAATTTTTCTGAAAATTGCTACTGATCGAGAAAAAAGTGAATTTTCGACGCTGAATATAATCATAATATTATGATTACAATTATTCCTTTTATTTTAATTCAGTAAGTACGAGGTGTGTTCAGAAAATATCGGGAATTTTTGTTTTTTGAAACAAATATTTATTTATTTGTCTACATTAATGTTGTCGCCTTCAAAATAGTCCCCATTGGATATTATGCACATGTGCCAGCTCTTCTTCAAATACTTGAAACACTTCTAAAACTCGATCTTTGGGATAGCCTTTAGTTCTTTCAACGATGCGCTTTTAATGTCATCTATGCTTGCAAAACGACGGCCCTTTAAGGTTCTCTTTATTTTTGGGAATAGAAAAAAGTCAGACAGCGGCATGTCTGGCGAATATGGAGGCTGGGCGAAAATTTAACAATTTTAGAACAAATTTTGCTGCCACGCGTTTCATACCCAAAACATTCGAAAAAATTTCATGGGATGAGCCAATCGATATATTTATTTATATTTATAACCATTTCTTCCACTTTTTCCTTGTTCGGAGCGTTCGTCATCTTCAACGTCTTCACGGCCATCTTGGAAACTCTTATACCACTTGTAAACTCTTGTTTTACTTATAGCAGACTCACTATAGGCCTTTGTTAACATTTCACAGAATTTATTTCATTTTTTAAGCAAAATTGGATACAAATTCTTTGATCCATTTCTTTTAACGAACGAAAAATCGCCGAGCTCATAAAACACGTCTAACCTTAGCGGCTCCCACAGACAAAGTAAACAATGAAAACAGCTAAAGTTTTTATCATACTTCGGGGGCATGTATACCAACAAAATAAAGAAAATTTTATGACAACCGGACCCTCCGAACCCGCGAAATTTAACAATTCCCGTTATTTTCTGAACACACCTCGTATATCCTACCGGGTCGCAAAAAAACATATTCAGTGCTGTAATAACATAACTTTTATTTTATTTGACATTTTAATTTATAATTTTGTAATTTAACTTTATATATAATGAATTATATTTTGTAATTGGATATTTTCAATCAAGTTTTCAATGGACTCCTTTTTGCAAAAAAGACCCAACCAACAGTATATTTAATGTTTTCGTTTATTTTTTTTTTAAATCAATTTAATTTAATTATATTTAGGTTTTTTTCGTGTAAGAATATTTTTTTATATTAAAATAATGTTAAGTTGTTAATTGCCACTTTTTTACATGTGTATTAGGGTGGGCCAAAAAAAACTTTTAATTTTTTTTTCTTTAGTTACCATGATTATATCGTCCAAGATGACGAAAAAAAAATTCTGATAAAGTTTGAGCTCTTAATATTAATATTAAGAGGTGGCTCATCGAGATTTTTTATTTTCCATTTAAATAACACGGGGAAAAAACATTTTTTTGTTTGTAATTTTATTGCGTTTTAACGAATCAGTGAGTTGTAGAAATCAATACATATTCTGGTAGGGAATTGAACGATCTACAAAAAAGATCTGATATGATTTTTTGCTTAGTCAACTAGTTTAAAAGTTATTTGAGGTTAAAGTTCAACCTCAAAAAGTAAATGAAGACTTTTATAGTTTTTCATACTCTATTACGAAATATTGGCTCAAAAATATGAAAAATCATATTTTTCGTGAAATTTATCGAGTGTCCATCGGTAAAACAATATAATTTTTACGAAATATCAATAATCGTGAAAAAAAGTTTTTTTTCTATACTTGATTTAAAAAAAAATCGATTTTTTTTTACAAAAGTAATGACAAAAAAAATTAATCATTTTTTCAAAAAATAATAAATATTCTATTTACACTTGACTATTTGGTAATAAAAGCCATTTTCAATAATTTATCAATTAAAATAAACATTTTTTATTTTAATTGAAAAATTATTGAAACATGACTTTTATTACTCTACGTAAGTCAAGTGTATACACTTTATAAATAGCATATTTATTATTTTTTAATGATTATTTTTCTTATTATAATATGAACCAATCAAAAGCCTTGAATTTTCGAATAAATTTCGTTTAAATAAGCGATTAAATCACTAGAACTATTTAACAGCGATTAAATTTTAGCCTCCATATTGGATTTTTGTTTACGATTTTATGGTGTTATTTACAAGTTTAAAAAAACATTTTTTAAAAAACAATAAAAAATAAGTTATCTAGTTTACGAAATATCAATTATTACTTATTACATACCTTAAATTAATGGAAATAATCTAGACGTATATCATTAACCTATAAATTTAATCTGTCAAACTATGCTCATGAACTATTAAATTCATGAAATATTATATTTTTCGTGAAGTTTATCGAGTGTTCTTCAGTAAAACAATACAATTTTTTACGAAATATCAATAACCGTGAAAAAAACGTTTTTTTCCTATATTTAATTTTTTTTTAATTCAAAATTTTTTCTTTACCTGAGACAAAAAAATTTCTTAAAAATTGTATTGTTTTACCGAAGAACACTCGATAAACTTCACGAAAAATATAATATTTCATGTTTTTGAGACAATATTCCGTAATAGAGTATGAAAAACTATAAAAGTCTTCATTTACTATTTAAAGTTGAACTTTAACCTCAAATAACTTTTAAAAGAGTCGACTATGCAAAAAATCATATGAGATCTTTTTTGTAGATCGTTCAATTCCCTACAAGAATATGTATTGATTTCTACAACTCACTGATTGGTTAAAACGCAATAAAATTCCAAACAAAAAAATGTATTTTTCCCGTGTTATTTAAATGGAAAATAAAAAATCGCGATGAGCCACCTCTTAATATTGATATTAAGAGCTGAAACTTTATCAGAATTTTTTTTTCGTCATCTTGGACGATATTTTCATGGTACCTAAAGAAAAGAAAATTAAAAGTTTTTTTTGGCCCACCCTAATGTGTATATTTACAAAAAAAATTGAATTTTTCCAAGGCCAGGTAAAAAACGGAAAAACATTTTTTTTCTAAATTTTAAATTTTAAAAGGGTTTTGGGATGTTTTAAAGACTCGGAAAAAATGCAAAAGTCAATATTTTTGACGCTGCTAAATTGCCCGAGGCAATTTTTATCTGAATTGGTTCTTACCCAGGTATTTATTTACACTTAATATATTTAGAATGCGCAGGTACCAATAAATACAATTCACGCAGTAAATGACGCGGCCGGCTTCGAAGGAATCGTGCCTGAATCGTAAAATCATGCCGGTTAAAAATAGCATGACGGCCGCCATGTCGCAAGGGTTCCACATATTCCACATCCAAACCTGAAAACGATTAAACGTGGACGTCGCATTCGAAAAACTTGTGCGAGTTGAAAATGACAAAAACTCACGGCAAATTTCTGAGAGAATCCCACAGGTTCCGATGAAAAGAGCTCCCGTAACTTCTCGCAACCCAACGAGCAGATAAATGCGATGCACATCCACTCTTGCCACGTCGGCATTGGCCCCATTTTTACCAGAACTGTGTAACTAAAGATCACCAAAAACATGATATAGGCAATCTAAAAAATGACGATTAGAACCTTGTTTTGACACAGGGTGCCCAACAACTCTCTCGCGAGACACGGTGCTGTTCTAAGAGGTGATTTTTGGACTTTCTGTGAAACCTATTTTTTTTTATATTCTTGTTAATTAGGTCATAACTAAAATTTTAAGAGCAAAATAAAAAAAATTTGACGGTTTAAATTGTTTTAATTGGCTTTTTATTAAAAATATTATGCCCTCTTTCAATTATCCAATTAAAACTAGCGATTTAATTTAAATATTTAATATTTGCATAACTAAAAAAAGGGTTTTTACAATTTTTTTTATATATTTTACTATTTTGTTGCAATAAACGTTCAAACTTTTAATCTAACCTTTGACGTATACATTTATGTTCCCTTAATTAATATATCCTTAAAGGTCCATGAAACTTAGATCTATTAAAAATTTATTTGATGTTTGAATTGTCATTTTCAGTATACGTATTCTATAATTTTTGTTTAGTTTTTTAAAGTGTTTTTTATAAACAAAAATGAAAAATTGTAGTAAAAGTTACCAAGAAATTCATGAAATTTAACTAGGACCGGTTTATTCATCTTTAGTAAAGTTTATCGGGCCAATAACTTTCATGTCTTGGCAATATCTAGTATCCAAAGAAATTATTCGTCAAATAAATCAAAAAGAAAAACTCGGCCCTAAATAAAATGTGGCACCCTTATAATTATTGTTTAATAAATGTATACTATACATTTAACCTTAAATTAAAACTTTAAACGTGTATTACAACAAAACAGTAAAAGATATAAAAAATGTATAGACCATTTTTAGGAAATTAACTAATCTTTAATCTGATTTAAAAAGTTATGATAATATTTAAATAAAATCGTAAGTTTTAATTGAAGAATTGAAAGTGTGCATACATATTTTTAATAAACGTTCAATTAAAACAAAATTAACCGTCAAATTTTTTTTATTTTGCTCTTAAAATTTTAGTTATGACCTAATTAACAATAATATAAAAAAATTAGGTGTCACAGAAAGTCCAAAAATCACCTCTCAGAACAGCACCGTGGAGAGTTAATGGCCGCCCTGTGAAAAGTAAAAGCGGTGTGTTACAGAGTTGGACCAGAACTTGCTGATCGGGGCAGTGTAGAACTCGTAGAGTTTCTTGCGGAACTTCAGCTCCTTGTTTTTGGGCACCATGTCCATGTAGGTCTCTGTATAATAGTGAGAATGGTACTTATGATCGTCCATGTCCGGCATGACCTTACCGTTTTCGTGCACGATCGTGTCCCTCGGTATGAAGTTCTCTGTCAGTAGAGCCTAAGACAAACCTTGGGTATATTTTTATTTCATGACGAAATTTTTTAGACATTCTATTACGACATTTAGTGAAAATTGTGTATAGATAAAAGAGTCGCAGGGGTAAAGGTAGATAGTGTTAGGCAATTACGAAGACATATAGATTTCATCAAAAATCATAAGCATTATACAAGTTATAGTTATAACATTTACAGTTCAAATGTAAAGGGTCCAAGTTTTTTTACTATCATCCCAATAAAGAAAATTGGTAGGTATCTACAATGGTTAATGTCCTTGGATTCGCCTTAAAAAACAGCACTTTATTGTGCAAATATTTATTAAAAAATTAAATTCAACGATTTTGAATAATGTGGATACCACAAAAATTGTATTTCGTGAGTTGAGACCAAAATCCTGGTTAAAGTTAAATAAAAGAATAAAATTTACTTTCTTCATAAGGATGGCAGTATTATGTGGCGCCGTTTTATTTTTTATTCAGGAATTATTCTTATATGTTAACACTAATATTATATACCGTACCTTCATTTGCAAGTTATACATAGGGAAAATACATTGTAGGTGGAACAGACAAGTCGAAGTCGGCGCGGTCAGCGCCGAACGAAAATGTTCCCAGAAATTATTTTGACGAGTGGATGAGTAGACTAACATGCGACGTAACAGGCGACCTTGTTTACTGGCGATTACAATTTTATTACGTCCAAATAATTTCTAAGAACTTTTTCGCTTTGCGTTGACTTCAACTTGTCTGGTCCACCTACAATGTATTTTCCCTATGTATAGCTTGCAAATGAAGGTACGGTATATATTTTCAATTAGATAAAAACTATCAAATAAGAATTTTTTATCTGCGACTTAAAAATATCATGGTAGATATTTAAAAATTTAATTTATTTTTTATTACAAACTAATATTTTTAATTTAGTGAATTTAAAATATCTGTTTCTAATATTTGTATTTTTTAGTTAAACACTTAAGTTATATTTTCAATTAGATAAAAACTATCAAATAAGAATTTTTTATCTGCGACTTAAAAATATCATAGTAGATATTTAAAAATTTAATTTAATTTTTATTACAAACTAATATTTTAAATTTAATTTAAAATGTATGTATTTGTAATTTTTAGTTAAACACATATTTTTAATTCGCTAAATTAAAAATATCATATTTTTAAATGCATTAAAAATATCACAGGAGATATTTTTAATTTTTATTTTTTAAAATGAGTAGATATTATTAATACAGATTGAAAGTTATCTCCTATGATAGGAGAAGTTTTTAAACGTATTGAAAATACGTTTGACAATTTTTCCTATGATATTTTTCATTAAGTGAATTCAAAATATGTGTTTAGCAAATAATACAAATATAAGATGCAAATATTTTAAATTCACTAAATAAAAAATATCACTTTGACATAAAAATTAAATCTAATTTTTAATTAAGCGAATTAAAAAGGTGCGTTTAACAAAAAATACAAATATAAGAAATATATAATTTAAATTCACTAAATTAAAAATATCAGTTTGGCATAAAAATTAAATCCAATTTTAAAATATCACTTGTGTTAACACATACAAATAATTCCAGAATTAAATAAAACAGTCTACTTAGTCAGTTCTACAAAACTATAATGTAAAATGATAAAATTTCACACTTACCAATAATAAATAATAATTATTATTTTATTTTTTTAAATTAAAATTTTTATTCTATCCAACATTAAAATTAACTGCTTTTGATTTTTGATTGGAGACAAGATTAATGCATGGAGGTTATAAAGCCTTTGAGAAAAATGTGAGGTAGGTACACAAAAAAGGGTACATATATACATATGGGGCACATTCAGTTACACTTAGTACATTGTTGTGAAGCATGTTCGCTACCTTAACGCCTTGTGACGTCGTGGTCCTGCCTCGAATACTCAGACTTCTAGTACGCTTCTAAAAAAGGCGACGGGACAAAAAAATTTGACATGTTAGAATTTCGAATTCTAAGCGATTTACAAAACACTGTGCATTAATACTATCATAATATTTTGGATTTAAATCACTGATTAACCGTCCCTGAAATGCAAGTACAAATAATACCACATGCGATATAACTTTTTATAAATTTACTTCTTTCTATACAACCGTTGATAATAACCAAGATACATTTTCTATCCATTTTATTAAACTTAATTTTGGAAAGCACAAACGTTTTTGCACAAAATTTGATTTTTATGGGGTTTTTTAGACCGGAAAATTAAATTCCTCTAAATGGAATTTTTTTGTGCCTTAGTGTATTCAAGTGTTTAATAAAAATGTTACCTTTTTATCTTTATAACATGAAAAAGGTATGCTTTATAAATGTCGCTGCGAGTAACCGTTTTTAAGATATTTGCATTAAAATTGTTCAGTGCGACCATTGAATTGTGATTTGAAAATGTATTATTTTTTTAAATGTAGGTTTCGATAAAAAATAGTCTATTATGTATCAAGTTTGATAAACGCTATTTTAGTCACAAATTTAATTTAGGCACAAGCCAGCTTGCGAGCGAGTGCTTAATTAAATGAGTGCTTAGAAAAGTTTATAAACGAGTTGAATACTATATTTTTTCTATGACAAACACTTATTATTATCTAAAAAATGATTTAAATTAAAAAAACTATAAAGCGACCATACGAAAATAAAGTAACCATCCAAATAAACATTTTTGACGTAATTTTCACCTTTTACATTGCCCGTTATTATTTTATTTAAACAATATTATTGATACTTTAAAATATTAAAATAACTTCAAAATTAGATTATTTAAAAAAATATTTTATCTTTTGATTTTTTATTACTATAATTGCAAAATATTATCACAAAGTATGAAAAATTCTTACACAGCACAAAAATTGACATTTGTATTTATTGGAATTCCCGTAAGATTTCTAACTTGGGAATCTACCGGCGTTAAAATATCAAATTTTTCTGTGCAAATCAAAATTTATCCCTAGAAAGAAACTATTTAATACTTTTCTATTGAAATAATAAAATAATTTTCACATTAAGCGATTTCACATTTTAATGATTGAATGACAACTGTCAACTAACTTAAAACTAACTTCAGCTGGTGACTAAAAACCTGTTGCTAACTTCAGCCCATGACTAGCCACAAGTTGTCAATGTGTATTTAAAATGTCACTTAGTGTCATGGAAACAGGTATGATAATGGGCGTTTTAAAGGTGGAAGTAGAAAAAAATACATTAAAACAAATTTAGTTACTTCGTCATTGTTTTTCAAAATTTTATTTTTTTAAATATCTTTTAACACATTCTTATTTTAAGTACAAATTAATCACAATAAATACCCACACTAAACAATTTAAACACACATTCCTCGAAAACGGTTACTTGGAGCGACATTTACAAGGTGTACCTTTTTTGCGTAATAAAGATAACAAAAATTATATTTTTACTAAAACGTGAATACACTAAGGTGCAAAAAAGATTAAACGTATGCAAAGTGTCTCAAACAGCGCCCTCTACAACCTGCATTAATTTTTTAAGAATTTAATTTTTTTGTCATAAAAAACCCCCCAATATTAAATATTATGCAAAAATATTAGTTTTTTTCAAAGTTATTTAATAAAATCGAAAAGACACTTTTAATTTTGACACCCAGTATCTTGGTTATTATCAACTTTTGTATAGAGGTAAATTTAGTTATATCACATTATTTTCTCAGGAATTTGTTATTATTTTTTTACAGGCATTTCAGGGTGTATACATCAGGCGCGTAGGCAGAAAAAAAAATCGAAGGTAAAATATTACATTAAAAAATTAAACTATAAAGATCATAAGCTTTAGATATTTCTAAAAAAATCTCAAATCCCCTCTGCCTGCGCCCCTGATATACATATATGTACATCATCTAAGTAAAGAAATTTGATCTATACAAACTTAAAAGACCTCCATTTAACTTTTAACAATAAAATAAGGGTCTAATTGGTTGGGTGGTATTTAAAAAAATACTCTAAAGAGTATATGTGATGTTTTAATATACATGCATGTGCAAGAATATATGGTCTAAGTATTAATTATTCAATCCAACCTCTTGAGAACATTTATTTAAAAAAGTGTTTGTACAGTGTGATCCCCTATAATGTCGCCCCCCTTTAACTTTTTTATTTTAAGTCTCCCAAAAAATTTAAAGGTGTGGTTATGTAGGTACTAAAAAATACTTTTTTTTCAACGTATAAAGAAAATTGGAAAATTGATCAGTATACAGGGAAAACCAAAAAGTTTATTTTTTTTTCAATGGATCACCCTATATATGAATTAATTTTTCGATTCCTTGTAAAATTCTAAGCATATTTCATATAACATACCATATACCTAAATTCAACCGTTTCTGAAATATTTAATTTATTTTTAAGATAATAATTTGAAATAGTTTGTGTTTCTCTGTCTGAGTACCACATTCTTACTTATTTACCAAGACATATTGACATAATGTGACTATAGTAATTTATTTTAAATAAAAATTTTGGTATACTGAGGCTTCTTGATTTCTAACAGTTTAAAAAAACATTTAATGATAACATTTCGAATGCGAATATTTCAGAAACCTTTGAGTTTAGGTATATGGTTTGTTATATGAATTATGCTCAGAATTTTACAAGGAATCGAAAAATAAATTCATATATAGGGTGATCCATTCAAAAAAAATAAACTTTTTGGTATATTGATCAATTTTCCATTTTTCTTTATACGTAGAAAAAAGTATTTTTTAGTACCTATATAACCACACGTTTAAATTTTTTGGGACACTTAAAATAAAAAAGTTAAAGGGGGGCGACATTATAGGGGATTACCCTGTACATATTCTGTAATAAATGGAAACTGGATATATTAATAAAGTAAGATAATTTTGTTATGAGTATGATATAAAATTAAGTGCTTGGAAAAATATGAAATCCTTAAAATTTTAACTCTTCAATTCAATGAATAATTTTCCAAGTTAATGATTACAATAATTTGAACAAAGTAAAGGGGAAAATTATACAAGCTTTGTGGTAAAAATATTTAAAAAGCTAAAGCAAATTTTAAAACACTTTAATTATTGAAGCTATTCTAAAACAAACTATTTATTAGAAACAAAAGAAAAAAGCAAATAAAAAGGGCAAGCAAAAATAGAAATAAATAAATAAAACTTTATTCACATTTTAACAAAAAATATGTATTTTTGATACGGTTTTCTAATTTTTTTCTGCTAAATTTCTTATAAAGGGGAAAATCATATCATTCATAGATTATAATCAATGTTAGAAAAAAAATTAAAAATATTTAAAAAAATTATTGCCATGCTGTGTTTTAAATATTTTGATGGTACAAAATTGTTCTATTGTGCATCACAGTGCTTTTTATCATGTGCACCTAATAAACTTTGGCTTACTTTTGGCATAAATTCAATATAATGTTTTCTAACCACCTTTTTAGGCTTTTTAGGCTAAAAAAGCATGATGTCCAATAAAGAGAAAATAAAAAAATATATAAATCTGATTAAAATATTTTGGAAGTATATCTCACCTCGCCGTCTGGATTTTTCTCCGAATCCGATTTATCGTCATCGTCATTTTCATTTTCCAAATGTTCTTCCGTGGTTTGCGGCATCAGTTGCAGCTCTTCTTTGGATTTGAATTCTAATTTCAGTATGTACGGAGGACAAAGCAATCCTATCATGACCTACAACGCGAAAAACAATAATGTTTATTTGGTTGAAAATAACGAAGTTGTACCTTAATGTTCGTATTTTTTCTTGTCCTTAAGCCTCCCATCCACAAATCAGCCAAGATAATCTGCGAGCACGGATGCGCCAAAAGCGCCCTGTGATTGGCTGCGACAGCAAGACTCAGACAAGTTTGTCCCGACCAATTTTGCAGCTCGCAAGTCAACAGGTGCTGCGTTCTATCATCGTCCTGCCTGTAGCAATAATCCAGCACTTCCAATGCTACAAAACGAACATAGAATTTTATTGCTTAATTTTTAAAAATAATGTATACTTCCTTGCTTGTTTATATTCTTTATTTGCGACTAGTTTCGGTTATACACCATCTTCAGGCAAAAATTTCAAGTTTTAAAATATGAGTTAAAATAGAATAATATACATATTACGAACATAGAAGTTTTAACCAATTTTTACACTTTAAAAATAAATGTTTTTTGTGGTAGGTGTTCCTTTAATTTTAAAGTGTAAAAATTGGTTTAAACTTCTATGTTCGTAATATATTATTCTATTTTAACTCATATTTTAAAACTTGACATTTTTGCCTGAAGATGGTGTATAACCGAAACTAGTCGCAAATAAAGAATATAAACAAGCAAGGAAGTATACATTATTTTAAAAAATTAAACATTCCATAAACCTTGCTAAAAATGGATTATCAAAACCTAGAATCTTATATTGCAAAAAAACATTTTATCTCCACGCGGTCTATAATTTAAACTTTATTGTTGTCAACATTCGATAGAGAAATACCTTGTTATGGCCTAGGCTGATAAAAAATTTTATGAGGCAAGTAATTAGTTCGATTTTTTCTCGCTAGGGGTATTGTTAATTAATCCTTTTCTAAGAAATTAACGTACTAAACTGGTTTAATTTATGATTAAAATGCACTAATTTGTTTGTTTTACTGTTAATGTTTAATATTTTTCATTAAATTATTGTAAAATTAAATACGAATAATAAAACAAAAAGTGAGGTTAGGCAACCAAGAAAACGCACGATTCTTTTTCTACGATTTAAATTATCTTTAAGTTTTAATTTGCTTTAAGTTTTCAGTGAAATTAAATGTTAAACACAGCTTAAACATTCCAAACTACCTAATTTTTAAATAAAAATCCAAACAAATTGAAATTAAATACTTACCTACCTAGTTATTAACAATTAATTGAATTCAATGTAATAGCAAAAATCCATTTCTACTTAAATCATGTTGCTAGGTATTGTCAAACTATTACTGCTTCTAAAAGCAATAATAATTATTGTACATTTAATGTAATCTTTAGCTAATTAATAAATGAGATTCTAAAAAAGTGAGGTTAGGCGGCTTTGATGTTGAATTAAATTGACCTATATAAAGTGCTTTGAAGATAAAATGTTGTATGCCATTCGGCCAAGAAGTGCCTTTTTGTGCTTCGCTCAATTGTAAAGCCTTACTTCTTAACCTAATGACATAAATAACTATTTCGTACCGATGTTTTCAAATTCTTTCCCATAGCTTCGCAACTCCTCGTATACTTCCGTTTCCATGTCATCTTCTGCGGCCTCGTGGGCCATAGCTTTGTACAGTTTACAGGCTACGAGGGCCTTGGCTAAGGCTTCTTCGCCGTGTTGCCACATCAGGAGAGCCATTTTGTGACGTTTCATTAGCACAGCCCAAATCTAAATATACATCAACATTTTAATTTTTACTTTAAAAGGTGCTATTCTCTTGATCCCTAACTAATTTAAAAGTAAAAAATGTTTGATAGCTAAATCAAATCGACTAGGCAAAAAGGGATAGGTCGTTATTTTTCAACGTTTTCAACTTTTTGATCGTTATAATTTTTTTTATTGTAGGTAAATGTTTACTACATATATGTATACAAAAAATATAAAAAATTGAGTGAATTCACAAATTTTTTTTTTCTAAAAAGGTCAAAATTTTGACATTGATACATTTTTTTTACTTCATATTTTTTGTCGTTTGAAGTTTATATTATGAACAACTTTTACCAAAAGTCGTTTCGGAATTATTATTTTTTAATAAAAATGCCATTTTCCAGTAAATTCGTGGTTCATCGCAAAAATTTAGTATTTAATCTGGGGTCATGAAACTAGGGTGACCCTTATAAAGTGTAATTTTAAAACTTTTTGACATATTTAACATATTTTTGTAACTTCTGGTTTCACCGGAAATGCTCTCCAGTAAGTAAATTAAATTATTAAAGATTTTAGAGTAAAATGTAAATTCTTAGTATTTTTGCATGTGTTACTTTTAAAAGATGTAAAAAGTATACGTAAGTTTAACTTCGATTGGATTCATTACTTTTAGGTATGTTATACTTACTTTTTATTATTAACTTACTGAGTTTATAATAAAAAGTAAGTATAACATACTTACCTAAAAGTAATGAATCGAATGCACAAGAAACTTATAAAAACGCTATTTCAAAATAATGTAGAACATAAACAATTCGGAAAAATGTTGGTTGGTTAACAGATATGAACTTCTTTTTGAGGCTCTATCAGTAAGGGAAATAAGTATTAAGCCTAAGAAGTCCAAAACTAATACGCAGGTTAATTATGTTTAGAAATAACAAATTTTTATTTGATTTCATATTTCGTTTTATTAATTATTGCCAGAGATTCCCTACAATGGCCACACTATGGGGCGGTTAAACATAACTTTTATAATCGTTTGAAAATATTTGTTTGATTTTTTTAGTACTTTTAAAACCAAACAATGTTGAGCAATAACTTACAACCCTTTTTATTCGAACCATCTCAAATATTATTTTTATATTGTTTTATAAAAAGTTTAAGCGTATGTTTTCATAGTAAAATAAAATGTTAATATTCACTTACCAGCTAAACAAACTAACGAACTGTCAAATCTGATGCTTATTTTAAACAAAGGTTTCAAAGCCTTCTTAATTTATTTACTTCCGTACATACTTGGTTTATGTATCTTGATACTTTAAAACCAGGTGTATGTATCTTGCTTTAAAACCTAATAAACATTCAAATTTAATTAAGAGTTTGGAAGCGATATTATTAAAAAATGCATTAAAATTTGATATCAAATTTAAAAAAATGGATTTCTTTTATGGCTTTTAAAGCTACTAAAAACCAGTATTGCAAAAAAAGAATAAAATTGTATTTTTTCCGGACTGCTTGGCCTAACATAAAGCAGAAAAGCCAATTCAAGGCACTCTAGATATAGAAATAAAATTTAATTGTCAAAAAGTGACAAATGACATATGTGTTTATTCAGAATTTTATTTTGAATCAAAATACATATGTAAAAATGCATAGTGTTTCATGTAAAAATAAAAAGTTAAGACTATTTCCGGTGAAACCAGAAATTACAAAATACGTTAAATATGTCAAAAAGTTCTAAATTACATTTTATAAAAGTTTCATGACCCTAAATAAATGCCATATTTTTGCGATGAACCACAAACTTACTAGAAAATGGTATTTTAATTAAAAAAATAATAATTCCCAAACGACGATTTTAGCCAACTAAGGACTTTTGGTTAAAGTTGTTAATATTATTAACTTCAAACGAAAAAATTATGAAGAAAAAAATTTTTGTAGGTAGTAAACATTTACCTACAATTAAAAAAAATTGTAACGATCGAAACTTTTTTGGCCAAATGTCACTGGTAAAAGAGAAAAATCGATGTTTCTGTCCATTTTTCAAAAATTTCCTAGGAGTGAATAAAACAAATTTAAGCAAAAATAAAAAAAATACGGGTCTCATCGATTTTGGTAGAGAAACTGTAAAAAAAATTCGTTAAAAAATAACGACCTACTTTGTCGATTTGAGAAAAGAAAGTAAAGAAAACATTTTTAAGACTTTTTACAATTTAAGAAGTAATTATCAATTTTTCGAATACTATTATTAGAAAATAGTTATTTATGTATCAAGGCAGTAAAGTCGTATTTTTTATGACGAATGTGGAAATTATTTGCCGAGGCGAAAGCCAAGGCAAATAACCACGTGAGTGATAAAAAATGACTTTAATGCCGAGGTGCATATTAAATTTTATCCAAAATCACATTTAATATTACTAATAATTAATATTGATGATTAAATCAAATGTCATTTGATGATCAAATCAAATGTCATTTGAATGTAGGAAGGGTCTACGAATACTGTTTGTTGCGACGGTTATTATATATTTGCCCGCCACGGCGATTTTTTAATCTAATTAATAAAATTAACTTAGTATTTTTATTAAACAACATTTTATGAAAGGGTCCAATCGACCTCCGCGACGGTGCTTTTTTTAAATATTATTTAGTTGCTGCTGAGGAGGAGTAGACACCTCTTAAAATGTATAATGTGTTGCATACAATACTCGTATTAAATCGGCAGTAAAGTTCTACGTTACTGCCGATTTCTTTTACTTTACTGCCTATTTTTGACTACTTTACTGCCGATTTCGGATAAAATTATTTACGTGTTTGAGATATTTTACTGTTTTTGATGATCAATATATCAATATCTGCATTGTTGTTAAGATAAAAACAAATCTAACTCACCAATAATTCATTAAAAGGATAATCAAACAAGCAGGGATTCGCACTGCTAGGTAGCGCTTGAGCTAGCAGGCTCATGGCGTTTCCAAACTGTTTGGCGTACGCTGTGGAGTTCCCCTGCATGCTCTGCCCCTTATTCATCACCTTGGCATAAATCGGTCTGAATTTTCTTCGCGTGTAAAAAGCCCTGTAAGCTCCGCCCATCAATTTGTTTATAACCAATCCGATATCGTGAAGAGTGTAGACATAACCTGCTGGAATGTGAGGTCTCACGTCCCTTAGGATGTATCTAAAGATACATGGATAAATAATATTTCATTTATTTTGGTGTAAAATTTTCTAGTAATATAGATTCTACAGTGCCCGCCGTGTAACTTGGCGAGGACGCCTTATGCTCAATTGACGTAATTTGTTAATGGTAAAGTTTAACACGTATTGAGGAATGTTAAAAACGACAGTTTTTTAGAAGAATATTAATTAATTATTATTTAAGTAAATGTACCAATAAATGTTTTATTCATATCTGGATATAAAATAAAAAGTATCTAAAATATTAAACCTAAATATATTTTTAATAATTTAATAATCTTCGACGCCGCTGGTAGGCATTATACAAGTATCAAGGTTTAATAACAGGTAATACAGTGTATTACCCCACTAAAAACGCTTCGTTTATAAACTTGCTTTTTAGGAAAAAATACAAAAAAATTTTCGAAAAAAAAAATCCTGTAATTTTTGAAAGTAGGCACGACATTTTTATTTTGTTTAAAATTTAATTTACTTTAATACCGCAAATCCCATGGTGGGCCAACTTTACTTTTTTTTACAGAATGTACTATGCTCCACACCTCCCACCACGTGACCACGTACGGAACGCAGTCTTTTGAAAATTTGGCATTTAAGGCTTTTTAGGTTAAGTATCTGTCAAAGTATAGTCAACGAAAGAAAAAATATTGTGTTTAGGCGTTAAAAATGTATAAATCTTTATAACATTAGAATATCAATGGATGGTTTAGGAATTTAAGAATATAAATACTGCATTTAATGAAATTCTAAAGTGTATGGTGCCAAATAAGTAATAGTTTTGTGCATTTGGTCCAAATATCTGGTTTTCTCCATAAAATAATTTTAACTAAACAGCATTTATTTAAAAAAATCTAGCTTCTCTATTATGGAATAAGATTATCTGTATTAAAGTTAGGTTAATATATTATAACAAAAATATCATCCAATTTAATAAGGTTTATAAGGTTAGAAAAATTTATTTTGACCAAAATAAATAAGTATTTTGGATTATTTAAAAGACTGTATAATATGGTATTTAAAAATGTGGTAGTTTTTCTTATCCAGCTTAAAGTGTACCTACATAAAGTTTTGTCAATAGAAATAGTTAAAAAGCTTCGACTGAATTTCAAAAAATCATTATAACTTTAAAAATTTTAATCTCATCCCATCCCATATGAAATATGTCATGGGAGTATTAAATATTTTCACATTGCAAGTTTCTCTAAAAATTGTTTGTTTTCTTATAATCTAACTTAAAGTAGGTATGCCGAGAGGTATGCACAAGTTTTGTCGTTAGAAGTAGGTAATACCTACTAGGTATAAAAGCTTTAATTTAATTTGAACCATATTCAACAATTATTTAGTATACCAATATTTATTTATGACCATATTAACACACTTTTCCAAATAATCCACTTATTTATTTTGGTCAAAATAGATTTTTCCAACCTTAAAATACAAAATTAGATGATATTTTTTGTTCTAATACATTAACCTACCTTTGATACAGATATTCTTATTCCATAATGGAGAAGTTAGATTTTTTTTTAATAAATGCGGTTTAGTTAAAACTATTTTATGGAGAAATGTTGAACCAATGCACAAAAATATTACTTATTTGGCACCATACACTTTAGAATTTCATTAAATGCAGTATCTATATTCCTAAATTGTTAAACCAACCATTTTTATTGTGATACTATAAAGTTTTATTAACTTTTAACGCTTAAACATAAGCGGTAACACTATAAATATTATTTCTTTCATTGACTATACTTTGACAGATACATAACCTGAAAAGCCTTAAATGCCAAATTTTCAAAAGACTGCGTTCCGTACATGGTCACGTGGTGGGACTTTGAGGTGTGGAGCATAGTACAGTTGTATTCATTAAAAAACTGTCAACATTATTGCGTAAAACCGGCTTTCCACTGACTTAAGTCACTATAACTGACAGTAGAAAATAAAAATGCCTCGTCAGTTAAAAAGGCTCAAATAGTATCAAGAATCGAAGAAGAATGGTCAATTCGTACTATGGTATAATAGAAATAAAAAATCTATATTAAAAATTAAGCAACGCTGGGAACAGGAAGATTTACTAAACCAAAAAGTTGGTTCAGGTCGTCCCAAAATGTCCACCCCTGAACAGGATGCTGCTTTTTTGGGATATCTGAGGATTTATGGGAAACTATACAACTATATAGTTATATATATATACTATACCTACTATACTGCTGGGAAGATATTAATCCAAATATTGTATTAAATTTAATTCAGTTCATCCCAAATAGATTGGCTCAAGTAATAGAAAAACAGGGATGCATGACTAAAATTTAATATTAAATATTTTTTATAGTTTGTTTTTTTCATTTCTAAGGTAATAATTTTTGTAATATTATTTTATTAACCTACGACGCCAATGCTCTTTATAACCTATAGTAATTATTTTAATGACTTATGTCAGTGATAAGCCGGTTTTAAGCAATAATATTATTTTGACAGTTTTCTCTCATTCTTGTACGCTTTTTTATTGAATACAACTGTACATAAAAGAAACACTTTACATATTAATGTCAACTAAATAATTATCCCACTAAAGAGAATATTAGGTACTAAAAATTTACTACTAAAGAGAATATTAGGTACTAAAAATTTAAAATCATAAAATTCGGTAAATTCACGTACCTAAGAGTATTGCTGGGTCCTTGTTTGGAGTTATACAAGTTTTCCAAACGCGGTATGGTCAAGAATTTCCTCATGCTGACCCCATTTTCCAGGAGGAGCTTCACGAAGTCGCACCTGTCGTGTTCGAGGGCTTTCATCATGGCCTCCTCCAGGGCCCCCTGAGGCCATTCTTGACCGTACACGAAAATTTCCGATCTGGCGATGTCGGCTCTGTTCCACGTCAAGGCCAAACTCAGCTGTTCGGTGGGCGATAAGTGCTGAGACTTGAAAAGTGCCGTTAGAACTGTCTGATCGAGTTCTTGGGGTTTCTGGTCGTACTTGTCCGCTATTCTGAAGATGGTGATCTGCAAACAACATCACAAATATCGAATGCCACATTTCCGTTGCATTCAGGTTGCTTACCAAGTGTCTGTTTTCCACGCATTGCAAGAGTTCGCAAAACAGCCCTTCTGCCAGTTCGATTGTTACTTCAAAGGCTCTTTGTATGGTGGCCACTATGTAGTCCTTCATGGTTTTTACAACGGAATATTCGTATCTGAAAGTCGAGCATTCTTTTTAATGAGTGTTATGAGAATAACACTGGTCAACAACAATTAATATTTTGAACTCTGAACAATTAATTTAAAAAAATCCCTAAACTCCATTAAAATTATTTACAAAATTGCCAAAAACTTGTAATTTCTGAATCTTTTTTATAAATAAAAAATATTTAAAATTTATTTACATTTTTTTAAACTGCTCTTAACAAGGTAATATTACTAGTTATTTATTGACATAAAATTACTTAAAGTTTGTCACTAAATTTATTTATTATCCCTAAAAATAAATTTAGTACCAACCTGATTTTATATGTTGGACCAGAGTTGCAAAATGTATAAATTAATCATTAAAAAAAAATTTTAAGTGAAATATTTTCATTACTCATTAAAAAATTAAAAATGAGTAATGAGAAACCGTACATTAAAAAAAATGTGTAACAAAAGACAATAAACATTACATTAGTAAAAAATTATCAGGGGTGGGGGTTGATGGGCTCCTAAAACTTTTTTGTTATTATACAAATGATTTACAATGAAAGAATTTGCAAACATTTTTTTCTCTGATAAGATAAGTAATTTTTATAAAATTTAATAATTTTTTTCAATAAAGTTGACTATTAAAATAAAAAATAAACAATTTTTTCTAATGAAAGTGATCACTTTTAAATTATAAATTATTTATGCTCACATAGTCCATGCTTTTTATAAAAGATCACTTACACTTCTATCAGTGGCGTATTGTCGATTTTGAGTAAACCGATATCTTAGTTAGTAGCAGAGCTGGCCAAGTACTGAGTACTTTTATTCGTATTTCAATTACGAGTAAAAAAGTACGAGTACTTTTTTACTCATAAGTATTTTTCATTTGAAAAACTCGTACTTACAAACCAAATTCAATGTACTCGTAAAAAATACTCGTGGAATTCACGAGTAATATATATGAGTATTTTCATTTATTATATGGATGACTTTTTGTTAAAATATCGTAAGCATCAAAACATTTTGTTTGGAAGTCCGTTTTAAATTATATAATATATTATAGCCTTTAGGTTTTATAACAAGTAAATAGGTAAATAGGTAAAATCATAAACTATTTAAGAATTGTTATTATTTTATGTACATAATAAATAATTTTATAAATTTGTATTTGTATTTTTATAGCTTAGGACCAAAGTATATATAATGTACACTCTCTAAAAAAGAATTAGTCAAAAATGACGAATTACTACAGATATTAGTGGAAATTAGTGAAAATACCGTCAAAAATTATAAAAGTGGAGCAGTTTTTGAGATATAGTCAATTCCATATTATATGGAAAATGGACAATATCTCAAAAACTATTCTACTTTTCTAACTTTTGACGGCATTTTCGGATTCAGGGAACAGTTTAACATAGAAATTGACTGCTAAATGTTAAAAATACAAATTGCTGTTGACGAGAATTATTAGTGGCTGCTTTTTCGCTATGACAATGAGTCATTTTTGACTAACCCATTTTAGGAGAGTAAAGAATAATCAATTATATTAACTAACTTTTTTTTTCAAAAGTACTCGTACTCTTTACTCGTGTTTTCACGATTACTACTCGTAACCGTAACCTCTCTTTACAAATGTACAAAGTACTTACGAGTAAAGTACTCGTACTTAAAATTTTACGAATACTTTTTTTAGTACTCGTGCCCAGCTCTGGTTAGTAGACATGGGACCCACACCAAACTTATTTGAATTTATAATGACATTAAATAGACAAGTTCTGCGCAAGCAGAATTTAAATTGAAGTTTGCGAAAAAAAGTTAGTTTTTCAGCGCGCCTCACCAGTCCCCTGCGACCCATAATTAAGAATATTCAAATTAAAGTGGTGCAATTCATAATTCACTAAATTTTATACGAAAATTTCATAGTTTATTTAAAAAATCTAAGAATTACAGATTTTAAATTACAAATCGAAAATAAACATTTTTCAAAATGTCAGACTTGTGTAAAATGCCCCATATAAAAATTACCCCATTAACCCTACCCCTGATCATTTTTCACTGATGTAATGTCTTCGTTACACATTTTTTTATTGTGTAATGTACGGTCTCTCATTACTCATTTTTTAATGAGTAATGTATTGTTCGACATTATTCATTAATTTTTTAACAGGTAATGAAAATATGTCTCAATGAATAATTATGATTATGATGAAAAAAATGACGATTGCATTGTTTTTTACATTAACATTTTTGCAACTCTGTTTGCAATACACATTAAATTTGAAATACCCAACAATTGTTTATTTATTTAAATAAAAAATGTTCGTTTAATATCATCATAAACAGACTCATAAACAAAAATTGCGTTGACCAGCGTAACAAATTGTACTTACTTGCACATAAAGGAAATTATGTCGGCGGCCCGTCCAGATCCGTCGCAGACTACCACCGGAACAGGAGGTTCGTCGGTGATGTACTCCAGTACGGCCCTGATAGTGTTAGTGCCGCCCTCTATCACTAAACACACCAGCGGAATGGGACTTTGGGTGACTGAAAGATACAATCAGGGATTACATTTAATGGCGCATAAAGTTCAAAAAGAGTTTTTAATGAAAACGTCCAATGTTAAGTCAATTTATGATACGCCATAAATTTTAAATGTGCGAGGAATAATATTGGAAATTTTCTTAGTTGACTTGGGGACAGTTTTATCGAAAAAAGGGTAAATAAATAATCCTTACAAAACAATAGAAAAACACATTATTTTGTGTGGATATAATTTCATTGTAAAACAAAAATAAAGGGGTAGGTATTTACTTGTAAAGGATACAATGTGGGATTTAGGAAACGTTGAATTCGTATTTTATACAAATAAATTATGTGGCAGCGAGTTCATATTATCTATACCTAATGTTTAAACTTACATGGGTAGAGCCTCTGCTTGGATATGTACTTCTCCAGCCTTCGTCTAAGGATTATTTCGGCACCATATTTTCCCACCGTTCCATTGTCTACGAGCAGAAAATACGCGTGTCTGTTGTTTAAGGCCGCTGTTTTTGATCTGAAAAGATATTATAATTTTAAGTGGGTTAACAAAAAATATATTTTTTTGTAATTTTAATAATTATAATAATGTCATCATTTGTCGATGTTAATTTGGACAAAACTCGAGTCGTGTAAAATAAAAAAAAAGGCTTTAACACAGAATGGTTTTATTATGCAACCAAATAATACTGAACATGTTTCCATGTCACTAAGTGATCTTTTAAATACCCATTGACAAGTTGTGGCTTTATGGCGTATTAGACACGGGCTGAAATTAGCAACAGATTTTTAGTCACGGGCTGAAGAAAGTTTTAAGTTAGTTGACAGTTGTCAAATGTCATAAAATCGTTAAAATAAAGTGGCCCTGTTAAATAATACTAAATGTAAACATTATTTGATTACCTCAATACAAAAATAAAAAGTATAAAATAGTTTCTCAACGCCAATACCTATTTGAAAAGTTTATATGCAAGTTTGTACTGACCTTTTGATAAAAATTTCTACCGTGAAGTGCCAAAAAACATTATTTTCGCTTTCACTGTGAAAAACTGCTTCTATATCATTATTTAAACAATTAGTCCATTTTCAAGGAATAAATTTCGATTTACACAAACAAATTTGACATTTTGACTGGCGCACCGGTAATACAGATTCCCAAGTTAGAAATTGTTACGCGAGTTACTCTATTTTTTTATAGATGTCGCTCTATACAAATATTTAATTTAAATCATTTTTACATTATACCTAATAAGTATTCGTCGTAGAAAAAGTATAGTCATTTAATTAAGCACACGCTCGCAAGCACGATCGTGCCTAAATTAAATTCGTGACTAAAATGATGTTTATCAAACTTGATGCATAATATACTATTATTTTTCAGAAGATATTAAATAATAGTATATTATGTATCAAGTTTGATAAACGCCATTTTATACAAGAATTTAATTAATGAGTGAATAGAAAAGTTTATAAACGAGGTGCATACTATACTTTTTCTACGACAAATACTTATTATTATCTAAAAATGATTTAAATCAAAATTTGTATAGAGCGCCATCTATGAAACAATAGGGGAATCTGTGTGTCACCGTCAAATGTCAAATTTTTATATTTTATAAACACAGATTATAAAGGTTATAAATCGAAATGTATTTCTTGAAAATTGACAGTTTTTCAAAGTGTCCGAGTATAAGTTATAATTTACTGCCGGCGAAATTAAAAGGTCAGTACAATGTTCATATAAACTTTTCAAATATTGGCGTTGATAAACTATTTAATACTTTTGTATTTTTGTATTCACATAATAAAATAATTTTTACATTTAGTATTATTTTACAAGAAAGGCACTTTATTTTAACGATTGTATGACATTTGACAACTGTCAACTAACTTAAAACTAACTATGAAACAATAGGGGAATCTGTGTGTCACCGTCAAATGTCAAATTTTTATATTTTATAAACACAGATTATAAAGGTTATAAATCGAAATGTATTTCTTGAAAATTGACAGTTTTTCACAGTGAAAGTAAAGAAAATGTTTTATGAGCACTTTACAGTGGAGTTATAGTTTACTGCCGGCGAAATTAAAAGGTCAGTACAATGTTCATATAAACTTTTCAAATATTGGCGTTGAGAAACCATTTAATACTTCTGTATTTTTGTATTGAGATAATAAAATATTTTTCACATTCGGTATTATTTTACAAGAAAGGCACTTTATTTTAACGATTGTATGACATTTGACAACTGTCAACTAACTTAAAACTAACTTCAGCCCGTGACTAAAAACCTGTTGCTTAGTGTCATGGAAACATGTACAATAAAGGGCGTTTTAAAGGTGGGAGTGGAAAAAATATTTAATTATATTCAGTGACTTTGAATTTGACTTTAATTTGGTCAAATGATATAGGTAAATGATGTTGTATTTATGTAAATTTTGACACGTGTATATACAATGTAGTTTAACACTGTTAAACTATTCTATTCTATTTATTATTTATATTAATTATTCATTATAATGAATGAAACATTACTTAAAATTTATTGGTGAAAAGAATTTCATAAACATTGTGCAGTAAAAATCAAACATGACTTTAGTGAAGTTTTTATTTATATTATTAACAATTAAATTTTCTTTATCTTTATCTATTTTACCAAGTCGATATGAATTCAGAAAAATAAGATTTATTAACAATGTGGGTACAAATAATATACTAGAAGTACTTATATCACCAAATTTTCTGGCTGATGGTGATACTAAATTTTATTTAAGTGATGCTGTAAGTAAATTTTTGACAAAATGTAATAAAGTAGTAAAAAACTATTTTTTTTATCTAAGGACCAAACCCGTGATGTGGGAGCAGGCAATTATACCATTTATGCCAAGCATATTTGGTGTCATCTTCCCGAATGCGATATATATGCCACAAAAGTACAGATTTCAATAGAGCACATGGCTTCGAATTTAGACCTAATTTATATAGACCTTAGGGATGGATATAATTTCCCCGTTCAGGTATATTGCATATTCATTTTAATATTTTTCTTTTTTAGTCCAAATGAATTTTACAAAAAAAATTAACACCATAACTAAAAAAATCACAAAGTAAATTTTGTAAAAAAGTGTTAATAAATGTATGCTAAAAATCAAAGCAATAGGTATTAGTTTTTTAGAATCACTCAAATAACCACTTTATAAAGTTTGTGCACATACTTAACACTCTGTACAATTGAAAAATCATGGATAGCAATTTATTTTTTTTAGGTTTTTTCAGATTGTTCTTTCTGCGACAATGCACAAATTTTGTGCAACGATATTATGCTTGAATGTCCCAAATCCACAATGGTGTTACAGGAACGGGTAATGAGTGATAAAGTGTTACCTTTTTTTGTGGCATGCAAAAATGAATTTGATAGTTATGAAATGTTTCAAAAATGTGATAATGCTGTTATTTCAGATATGCATGTAAAAAGTTATGCTAAACGTTGCTTACATGTTAAAACTTATACCATTACATTTGGTTAAACAAAAATCGTATTTTAGATTATAAGTATGTTTTATTTTAAAATATTACATTGCTTTTAGTTAAGATTTTTAAAAGGTTTAAGTTCAATAAAAATGTTTACAACATAAGCTGGGGTTTAATTATTTCTGGTATAAATTAAGAAATTAAAAATAATTAAAAAGATTTTGTTTTGTGCTAAACATTTTTTACAGGGTTAAGAATAAATATTACTAATTTAATTGACTGTACTGAAATCAGTCATCCCAACATACTAAAAAACTAATCTGAAATTTGTCGATTCCATCAGTGTCAACTTCATCAATCATGACTTTCATTTAATACAAAAAAAATCATAACATGCATTACTTTCATAAAATTTCAAGTTCGCTTTTGAAAATTAATCGTCCAAAGCTCGTCACAAATTACCACCACATACCGAAAAATACCAATCGAACCGTTATCAAGCAATTACCAGGAAAAACTGCAATCCGAAACGTAAACAAAACATCGACCAGAAGCAACCACAAATTGACCAACAACAGCCGCAAAAACGGTAACAAAAATGTGGGAATTCCCGCTACCACCCCGGAATTGATCTACGTTCCCAGAGTTTTCAGATGGATGGCCAACAAGGTTCGCTTCAAATATTTGCAGAAAATGTGGGACCAAGAGTTCTCTGAAGGAGCTTTCATATTCGGTACGAAAATCTCACAACCACTTAAATTTTTTTTTACTGAATATTTTTTTATAAATAAATGGTTAAAGAGCAAAAGGGTACAAGTGCATTTTAGCATAAAAATAAGTTAATTGCAGAATTGGGTAGTTTAGAGTCCAATGTTTGTTTTAAATTTTCTCACAACGTGAAAATTGTACGAGTTCTGCATGTTGATTAATGCAAACATTGAAACAAGTATGCAGATTTTAGCAAACACTTTAGTTTTAGTACCCTTTTGCTTCTTACCCCCTTAAATGTCTTTTTCATGTCTATATCGAGAGATTTAAAAAACCGTGTACAATATAAGGCTGAAATAAATTTACTCGTATCTATCAAAAGTTTCAGCCTTAATCTTACTCCTAACTTCCCTTATTTTGATTTTAAAGTTTTCCCAATGAAATAACTGAAAATTAAGGATGTTTTTTAATTTTCAATAACTTGGCGACATTTTACGTTATTAGAATTTACATAGGTGCGATTTGTACATAAATAAGTGCTCTTTTAAAGTACTTGCAACAATTTTACTACAATTAATATATTTAGACCTGAAGTAATGATTTTAATAATAAACGGTACCTACTTTAGTATTTTATGGCAAAGCGGTTAAATTTACAGGTAAAAAGTTAATACGACTTTTATAGGAAATAAAATTTACCATAAAAAACTTTATATCCAATAATGCAATAAAATGTATAGTTTAAAAGATATAGAGAATTTAATAAATAGTACTGTAAAATATTGATAAACTAATTAGATCTATGTTTTTAGGTCACAAGGGTTAAATGTAGGTACAGGTAAAAAGTAAAAATATTTGTATAGGAAATTTAATTTCCTACAAAAATAAGTGCTCTTTTAAAGTACTTGCAACAATTTTACAACAATTAATATATTTAGACCTGAAGTAATGTTTTTAATAATAAACGGTACTTTTGCATTTTATGGCAAAGCGGTTAAAGTTACAGGTAAAAAGTTAATACGACTTTTATAGGAAATAAAATTTACCATAAAAAACTTTATATCCAATAATGCAATAAAATGTATAGTTTAAAAGATATAGAGAATTTAATAAATAGTACTGTAAAATATTGATAAACTAATTAGATCTATGTTTTTAGGCCACAAGGGTTAAATGTACCTACAGGTAAAAAGTAAAATTATTTGTATAGGAAATTTAATTTCCTACAAAAATAAGTGCTCTTTTAAAGTACTTGCAACAATTTTACAACAATTAATATATTTAGACCTGAAGTAATGTTTTTAATAATAAACGGTACTTTTGCATTTTATGGCAAAGCGGTTAAAGTTACAGGTAAAAAGTTAATACGACTTTTATAGGAAATAAAATTTACCATAAAAAACTTTATATCCAATAATGCAATAAAATGTATAGTTTAAAAGATATAGAGAATTTAATAAATGGTACTGTCAAATATTGATAAACTAATTAGTCCTATGTTTTTAGGCCACAAGGGTTAAATGTACAGGTCAAAAGTAAAAATATTTGTATAGGAAATTTAATTTCCTACAAAAATAGTTTTATGCATTAATGCAATAAAATGAATAGTTTAAAAGATATAGAGCATTTAATACAATTTACAGTCAACTGTAATTACTTTAACGAAATTTTACAGTTAATCTTTTAAATTATGCATTTTTTCATAGAAAATTATATTTTCTAAACATTTCTAAACATTTTTTTTTACTTTTTTACTGTAACTTTAACCGTTTTGCTGTAAAAGGCTGTTTTTTTATTAAAAATATAACTGTTGACGTATACAGGTCGAAAATACAGGTTGTATTAAAATTGCTGTACTTTTGAAGAAGATCTATTTTGTACAAATCGCACCCATGTAAAATACAGTAGCGTAAAATATTGTCAAGTTAAAGGAAAAATCTTTTTTCCTTTTATTTCAATGGGAAAACTTTAAAATCAAAACACTTAGGAGTAAGATAAAGGGCTGAACTTTAAGGGCATTTTTTCTCATTATGTACATCAATATTTTGCTTGGGGAGCGACAAAAAATAAATGTTCCTTCAAAACTAATCACCCTATAGAGTGATTAGTTTTGAAGGAACATTTATTTTTTGTTAAACTGGGTGTTAAAAAAGCGATATCGTTTTTTCTCTATGAAATTATGCCGAAATAAAAACTCAGTACTTTATTTATTACAATTTTAAGAAATTTACCAGTTAACATTTTCACATTAAAACAATATACCTAATACAGTACAATATTTCCATTTGTAGGAAGCACAATGGCCGTGTGTCGCATCACTGAAATTGTCCAGTCAAATGAGTACATGGAACTAGATGGCCTTTTAACCTCTTCAGCGAAGTTAAAACTTATTGCCGACTTACATACCAGATTCACTCAGCAACAAAAAAGTATAATGGGTCTTAAACCACAAGATATTAAAATTTTAGGTAAACAATTTTAATTATACAGTAGGTCTAAGGATATCCTTTGAAAATAAATTATGAAGATATAAATTGTTTGTATATTTTTTAGTTCCGGTCAGTGTAAAACTACTGAGGCATGGTGGAGAAAAGAAATGCAGGGTAAATCTACGCATTTTGGCGTTAAAATGGTACAAGCAATTAAATGGAGTGGTGAATTTGGTTTTGGTTGCTTTGCAAACGGAGTTTCAAAAAGATTACAAAGAGCCTTGTTCCGACTGGACCATCAGCAATTTCGATATCTTGGACTGCACAATGTTAAAGGAAGGAAAAATTGGAAAAATATAAATCAAAATTGTATTATAAAGTATTCATTTGAAATTTTGTTTGAATATTATGTAGGGGTCTACATTTTTAAGCTTATTCGGAATAAGTAAAGTTCAACACTTTATAAATAGGTGAATATTTACCTTGGCGATGATATGGAATGATATGGAACTTCATTATTATGACCTATCAGATCTTGGTTGTTTTCTACAATACCCCAGGGTGCAATACCGAGGGTATTGACTCGGCCAGTTCTTTGAGATCTTTCTAGCAACAAGGCATCTCCTACATGTTTTGTAACCCCTGAAACAACATTAACCATTATTTGCCAATACATTTAAAAAGCAACACATTTTTATTTAGTTGTTATAAATGTTATAAGTTATATAACTTATAACCCAAAAACCGGTTATAATAAATAATGATGTTTTTGCAGTAGTGAAATGAATACGGGTCATTCCATATCAAATCGCCAAATTTTAAAAATTGTATTTTTTGATTCAGTTAAATTTTTGACGTATCAAAAGACGCCCAACCCTAAATTTTGAGCCCTTAATTTTCAAAAGCCCTGAAGATATGAGTTTTTGAAAATCGCAAAAAATAGCGACATATTTTATTTTTTTGAAAAAAATATATGTTATACTAGACTGTAACACAAACTTTTTAGGCCCATAATGAAAGTGGGATTCAAATATCTTCGATTTTTTAAGCCACTTTTTAGTATTTTTTTAAGCATAAATTCAAGTTTTTTGAAAATTTTCTAATTTTTTATGAGTTTTATTAAAGTTTTCTATTAAAATATCATAAATTAACGTTTAATATTGTAAAAAAATAATTTTGCAATGCTTGATAAATAATTCTGCGCTTTCTGGCGCTTTGTTATAAATTTTTGTATTATTTTTAGTTTTTGTATTTCTTTTGTGAAATATATCCGTACTTACAACGTTTCTCATTATCGATTGTGATTGTGAAAAGATACTCGCAATCAGCCGATTTTAAAACGCAGGCTATTTTAAAACCAACGATTAATTCGACAAAGAGGACAATAAATCAAAGATAATAAAATAATTCAACTACATTGTTTTGTACAATATAAAATGCCGTAGATTAAAACAATAAAAAAATCTTTCATGGTCATAAAATAGAAAAACTTTCTCTTATTCCCTCAACAATTTATATTTCCATACTAGTCCGTAAAACTCATAAAAATAACTGCGAAAGAATAAAAAAAATAAAAAAAAACTCAATAAACCAAAAAAGGTAATCAATTTACATAGGAAAATATTAGTTGTTCATATTTGAATTGAAATTTTGGGAAAAAAATAGAAAATTTTTAAAAAATTCGAATTTATTGTTAAAAAAATACTAAAAAGTGGCTTAAAAAATCGATGATATTTGAATCCCACCTTCATTATGGGCCTAAAAAGTTTGTTTTAGAGTCTAGTATAACATATATTTTTTCAAAAAAATAAAAAATGTCGCTCTTCAAAAAAAGTTAAAATTTAAGTTAAAAGTTAAGTAAAAACAGTGAAAAAAAAATCTTGGTTTTTATATGAAAACACCAAAAATAAATTTTAAAGTGGGCTGCATGATTTTTTATTTTAATGAAAAAATTTGAGGATGATCTTTTAGGCATCATATATGAAAAACCGTTGCCGTTTTAATTTTTAGTTGCTTTATTTTTAATCGGCACCCTTTAAAAACCTGTTATCGTGTCATTTTCTTACTCTCTTATACGAGGCTAAAACTTTTTTTCTGTGGCAATTATTGAAATGATTGTAATTTTATTTTACTGCCTAGTAAGTATGTTTTCAATATTAATTATTATTATCTAATTAGTTAATCTCATAAAATAATGGTACACCACTAAAGATTTGTAATAATTTGCCAATTTTTGTGATTTTTGTATGGCTTTTGTGCCTATTCTGCTAAATCTAGAAAGTTGCTTTTTTCAGGTATCAAGTACTTATACAATAGAAAACGTAACTATTGGTTTCTAGACTATCATTTTCTTTATTAAAAAAAATATTGAAACTTGATAATTTTCAAAATTAGCCAATTTTGCTCTCAGAAGTCATTATGTTGTGGAAAAAGTAAAAATCTGAAACTTTTAGGAAATATAGTCCCCACCTTCATCTTTTCAGTCTAGTTAGTCTTGTATTGTTATTTTTATTCCTTTAGAAGATATATTAATTTTTTTAATGGCCGTTTAGTAGCGATATTGTTAGTTTTATTTATAATTTAAAATTTAGATGGCTTTCATTTTTGGTGGAGAAATGTCAGAACTATCAAATTTTTATTTTTTCCTCAACATAATGATTTCTGAGGGCCAAATTGACCAATTTTAAGAATTATCAAGTTTCAATATTTTTTTTAATAAAGAAAATGATAGTCTAGAAACCAATAGTTACGTTTTCTATTGTATAAGTACTTGATACCTGAAAAAAAGCAACTTCCTAGATTTAGCAGAATAGGCACAAAAGCCATACAAAAATCACAAAAACTGTCAAATTATTACAAATCTTTAGTGGTTTACCATTATTTTATGAGATTAACTAATTAGATAATAATAATTAATATTGAAAACATACTTACTAGGCAGTAAAATAAAATTACAATCATTTCAATAATTGCCACAGAAAAAAGTTTTAGCCTCCTATAAGAGAGAAACTTAAAATAATAGTTACGTTGTCTATTGTATAAGTTCTTGATACCTGAACAAAAATTGGCAAATTATCATGAATCTTTAGTGGTTTACCATTCTTTTATGAGATTAACTATATCGAAAACACACTTACTGAACAGTAAAACAAAATTAAAATCATTTCAATATTTGTCACAGAAAAAATGTTCTGGCCCACTATAAGAGAGTAAAAAATTGACACGATTTCAGATTTCTAAAGGGTGCCGATTAAAAGTAAAGAATCCAAAAATTAAAACGGCAACGGATTTTCATATTTGATACCTAAAAGATCATCCTCAATTTTTTTATCAAAATAAAAAATGAAGCATTGGAATGACTCATATATTTTTTTCAAAAACTTCATTTCATATCTTCGGGGCTTTTGAAGATTAAGGGCTCAAAATTTAGGGTGAGGCGTCTTTTGAAACGTACAAAAACATATTAAAAATTTAACTGAATCAAAAAATACAATGGGGTAGTTAAATTTTTTCTGACCTATACTTTTTGTGGTTTTATTCCAGGCGTTTTGTAATTTTAAACATTTCTGTGAAATCGGAATTTCAATTGAGTTTACCGTTTTCGACATATTTACAAAAAAAAATCTCCTAATTACGTCACTAGGCTATTGACAACGTTGCCAGCTTTTTCTATGGTTGCCAGTGTGTTTAGTCAAAGATTAAATATACTCTATATTTAATCTTTGGTTTAGTTTAAGATTCTTACGATGGCGCCACGTTATAATATTTTAGTTTTAAAACCACTTGATCTATAATTTTAGTTGAGAAGACGAGGAAGAATTGATTTTTTGACGTTTCTTTTTTTCGGGTTATGTTTTTTTTAAATTTAGATTATTGAAAATCAATGTTATTGTTATGTTATTTGTAATTGATATTAGATAAGTGATTTATTAATAACGGACTCCAAAGCAGAGGAATCTTGTGGAATGGTTGGTTACATTGAACATTGGAGCTTTTAAACAAATAAAGTAAGTACCTATAATTATAATCATATTTTGTCGTAAATGCATTTCATTAGTATAATGCCTAGTTTATATTCTTTTAGATATATCTTGGACTCTAAAATATCAAACAGTAATATGATACCTCGTAATAAGGAAGATAGGTACTTAATGAATTTGGTGACCATCTTTCACTCAACGTCAGTGACAGTATTTGTACATAACCTCTTCGGGTATTTTCTGAGTTAACCGAATGAAATCATTAACAAGACAACTTGACAACAGGGTAATTTTCAACCAATAGAAATCTTAGAATGTTGGTCACATGGCGAGGTTTGTGACGTCATAAAAATTTATATTTTTTGTAAATATCTCGAAAACGGTAAACTCAATTGAAACTCTAATTTCACAGAAATGTTTAATATTACAAAACGCCTTGAATAAAACGATAAAAAGTATAGGTCAGAAAAAATTTAACTACCCCATTTTTAAAATTTGGTGATTTGATACGGAATGACCCATAAACTTAGGTTCAACATTGTAATCGACTTGCCTGTGTTCGTTCCTCCGGTAAAGATCCAGGCGCCCGTGGATCGAGCGGCTTTGAGCAGGCCCTTGCGGAGCACCTTTTTGAGCTTGGGCGGCAGTTCGAAGTTGGCTTTTCCGCCCTGTATCGATATGAGGAGCTTGGGCAGTTCGAGATTCCATTCGCGCGTTATCAACTGCATCAAGTGTTCCGGTTTTGTGTCGTGCGCCACCCTGATGTACTGAAATAGAAAAATAACAACATTAAAATCCACTAAACAAACTGCAAATCTAACTAAACATAATAGTACATTGTGTATCAAGGGCGGAAAGAAAGCGATTTTGTGTGAAGTTTGCCGCACGAGCATAAAATGCGAGTGCGGCAATCACACGAGTCAAAATCACGTTTCCGCCCGTGGTACACATACTATTTTGTGTCAAATCTGCCCTGAAATTTTCAAGTTGAAAAGGCTTTTACAAAATAAAAATAGTATATTAAAGTACAAGTTGCAGAAGGCCACATATTCTCGCACGAATTCGAAATTTGGCCTCGAGCGACGAAGGAGCGAGTGGACGAACGAATGAGTGCGAGAATAGCCTTCTGCAACGTGTGATTTATACTATTTTCTCGATTTTAACTTTTATTTAGGTTTTTTTAAATGTTTTGTGGTCGTTGTTAGTTGGGGGATTTTTCTCGCAAAATGTCAGTTGGCAACACAAAATGACAGTTGCATGGACAGGTAGATTTATTTTTATTTACTATTTATTAATAATTATTATAATGTCTGTATTTGTCAACTGGATAATAAGGTTTTGTGTAAGTATTGTATTATTTTTTAATGTTTTCTGATATTTTTGAACAATTGTGTTTACTTTTAGCAGTAAAAAATGTCACAGGAGGTTTTACAAGCAACACTGAACATTACAATAAAAGTTTATAACAATTGTGCTAGTGATTAATTTATAGTAGTTTTGTGTTTTGTGTACTGTGGGTATATAATATTTCCAATAAAATATAGTTTGATTGACCTGTCTGGCTCATTTATTTGTCAATAGTTGTTATCCTGCACAAGTACCACTGAACTGCACTTTTTCACATTAAACTTAATTAATTTTGCATTAAAATGCATTGTTGGAGCAAACTTAATATAACAAAACAATAATAAAGGCTTCATTTTCAATAAAAGTGTAGTTCAGGTTGCACTAGTGCAGGATAACAAACAAAGCTATTATAAATAATCCTAAAAGTAATGAATTTGAGGTTATTAAACAGTTTGACATTTTGGGGGTACCAATACTTAAAAACTAAATGTTACCAAAAATCGTTTAAGAATGAGCTTCATTCTTCCAACGATTTTGCGTGCGAGAATATGACATTCTTACATAAAAATCGAGAATAGTATATTAAAGTACAAGTTGCAGAAGGCCACATATTCTCGCACGAATTCGAAATTTGGCCTCGAGCGACGAAGGAGCGAGTGGACGAACGAATGAGTGCGAGAATAGCCTTCTGCAACGTGTGATTTATACTATTTTCTCGATTTTAACTTTTATTTAGGTTTTTTTAATTGTTTTGTGGTCGTTGTTAGTTGGGGGATTTTTCTCGCAAAATGTCAGTTGGTAACACAAAATGACAGTTGCATGGACAGGTACATTTATTTTTATTTCCTATTTATTAATAATCACAGATTATACAACTTAATAATCTGTCTGTATTTGTCAACTGGATAATAAGGTTTTGTGTAAGTATTGTATTATGTTTTAATGTTTTCTGATATTTTTGAACAATTGTGTTTACTTTTAGCAGTGAAAAATGTCACAGGAGGTTTTACAAGCAACACCGAACATTACAATAAAAGTTTATATCAATTGTACTAGTGATTAATTTATAGTAGTTTTGTGTTTTGTGTACTGTGGGTATATAATATTTCCAATAAAATATCGTTTGATTTACCTGTTTGGCTCATTTATTTGTCAATGTTTGTTATCCTGCACAAGTACAACCTGAACTGCACTTTTTCACATTAAACTTAAAATTTTGCATTAAAATACATTTTTGGAGCAAACTTAATACAACAAAACAATAATAAAGGCTTCATTTTCAATAAAAGTGTAGTTCAGGTGGCACTAGTGCAGGATAACAAACAAAGCTATTATAAATAATCCTAAAAGTAATGAATTTGAGGTTATTAAACAGTTTGACATTTTGGGGGTACCAATACTTAAAAACTAAATGTTACTAAAAATCGTTTAAGAATGAGCTTCATTCTTCAACGATTTTGCGTGCGAGAATATGACATTCTTACATAAAAATCGAGAAAAATATTTAAATAATAAAAATTCGATAGGCAGCTAATTTTACTACGGTGAGTTTGACTGTTGTTCAATAATTATTATAAAAATGACTGAACTGAAAAATAATTAGGAAAATATTGTTAGTAATAATAACAATTATGATATATCTTGTACGCCCCCGGAATTGAGAGAACTAGCGAAAGGTGTACATGATTCATTATTGCCCGCAAAATCAAAAGGAAAATACGAAGCGGCGTACTTAACCTATAGTGAATGGAAAAAATCTAAGAACGTGAAAGTGACATCGGAAAATGTTCTTATCGTTTATTTCCAGGAATTGTCACAAAAGTGGAAAGCATCTACGATTTGGGCAACTTTCTCAATGCTCAAATCTACCATTAGTATAAAAGAAAACATTCAGATTGAAAATTATAAAAAAATGGTTGCTTATTTGAAAAGAGTATCGGAGGGCTACAAAGCGAAAAAGTCAAACATTTTGCAAGCAGAAGAAGTCGAAAAATTCCTAAATTAATTAAGTATTGCTTTTTAAGTTAGGAAAACATCATTAATTTTAATTTAACCATACAATATGGGAAATAAAAGAATAAAATTCACTAAAGCTTTAATTATTTATTAAATTAATTAACAAATAGCCATTTCATATTTAGATTTTACATATTTATTGGTTTATGGTTAGGTAAACACAAATGGTCTTTGTCGCCCTAGGGCGGTAATATTATTGCCCGACTCCGCCCACCGGGCACAATCTGACACTTGGCGCCCGCCTTACATGCATGTAAAGCCTTATTTCAGGGTAGGTTTGACACATAACATTTTTTATATAAATTTGTATAAATGGCGAATGCGCCGGGATTAATGCAACAAATTTGGTACAAAATAGCACAACCAAGGTCTGTTCTATCTCGTACTTAAAATACCTAGCAACATGATTTAAGTAGAAATGGATTTTTGCTATTACATTGAATTCAATTAATTGTTTAATAAATAGGTAGGTATCTAATTTCAATTTGTTTCGATTTTTATTTAAAAAATAGGTAGTTTGGAATGTTTAAGCTGTGTTTAACATTTAATTTCACTGAAAACTTAAAGCAAATTAAAACTTAAAGATAATTTAAATCGTGCGTTTCTTGGTTGCCTAACCTTACTTTTTGTTTTATTATTCATATTTAATATTACAATAATTTAATGAAAAATATTAAACATTAACAGTAAAACAAACAAATTAGTGCTTATTATAAATAAATTAAACCAGTTTAGTACGTTAATTTCTTAGAAAAGGATTAATTTGTCAAAACAATACCCCTAGCGAGAAAAAATCTAACCAATTAGTTGCCTCATAAAATTTTTTATCGGCCTAGGCTATAACAAGGTATTTCTTTATCGAATGTTGACAACAATAAAGTTTAAATTATAGACCGCGTGGAGATAAAAAATATTACCAAGAAAAAAAAGAACAAATATCTTTTTTAACATTGCTTTAAAATTGCTTAAAGCTAAAATAAATTAGCCTAAACAAAGCTATCGAATCGTATCATAATACCGAATGGTTTAAATAATTAAATTAAAAATTAGTAAAACTTTTGACTCCCAATTTGTACCTGTTGGGCAACGTAAAACAAGAAAGTTCATTAAGGTTTGTTAAAGTTTAATTGCTAAAACTCTTGGAAAAAGGTTTGCATGAATAAATATGTATTCGCTTCGCTGAAAAAATTATTTATTATTTAATTGAAAGAAACTTTCATAGGTACGATAACGAATTTAAAAATTGTAATTTAAAAATTGGGTGAATTATCTTAAAGACTATATTTATTTAGGAATTTACTGATATTGTGATCTCCAAGAAAATGTTTTCAGGCAATAAAATTACAACTAAATTTATACCTGAAAATTTAAGATTAAAACAATTTTAAAATAATTTTTGCTTTAAATATAATATGAATAAGACTTTCTACTGACGATGATGTTAATGATGATGTATGGTGAGCCAGTCATACAAATGCAATTAATTGCTTCCAATTCTGCACAACGTGGGGTAATTAAGCCTCAGGTGCTACTCGAAGCAATTATTGTAATTTATACACCAAAGTTTAGTAGACTAAACTATGTAACCACTTAACATTGTAAACATATTCTACGTATCTTTCTAATCCCTTGGAACTATTACAAAAGACAACTTTTGGTTAACCAGTTTATACATTGAAAAATCACAAAAAAAAAGAAAATTAAACAAGTGATATTAAAATACTTACTCTTCTGGTAGACCAGTAAATGGCAACCACAATCTGGTACCAATTTTATTGCATAATCACCCTGATAACTAAAAGTCGACTCCATCAATAACTTTTCAACTTTTAAAGTTTGAAAATTTGGTTTATAAAAAGTTTTGGGTGGAGGAGATAAATTAAGTTAAGTATTAAAAGTTATTCGTCCAAAATAAATTTTGGGAACGTAAAAAATGATATAAAAGGCTGTATAAAAATTTATTTGGTTTTAAATATGAAATTCGTGCATTTTTAATTAAACCGACTGAAAAGACATAAATATTCATAAAAATTGTGCGTCTTTATTTCTTTAATTATGGCTTAAAATTCAGGTTTTAACTTTAAAACTTAATGGAAAAAATATTTCACGAAAAACGTAATAAAGTCGCGTGCGAATATATTTACGAGCGTCTTTATGACACTAAAACAGAAAAAAGTGGAGAAATTATGCGTAAGGTAAAAAATCTGGGAAAGAAGAGCTGGAAAATTTGCGAGTCAATTCGGGAATTTCAAGTGGGCGTGACGTCAGTCCCCCTTTTCAGAACTTTATTTTTTTTTTGTATATTTACTCTCTAGATTCCATTGTACCTACCTGGTTTTAACAGAGATTTAATAGGATTGCGATTTAGCTGTTTCAAAAATATTTACTTTAGTTTTTTAATTAA